TAAATACTGTGATGCTAATAACGAGGGAGCGGTAGAACTAAAGGTCTAAACTTGCGATCAGTGGATATAATGAATCACTGTGAAGATGGTTAAACCTAGTGACTAAGTTAGATAACATGTAACTGATATGAACAACCCAGACCTCCCTCAAGATAGCGGTAGTACAACTCGGGATCCAGGAGATAAAGTAAGTATACTGAGATCTACTGGTAAGTTAAACTAAACTGTCACTCAGGATCGCTGAGGGCCCCTCTAGAATGTTATTACAGATTGTGCCACTTTTTAAACAGTCTCAATATGGTGCAATATACATCTATTGTAGTCTATTATATCTTCCGCTTACAAAAGGCCAACATTGGTCTAATTATCTTCAGTTTATTTCATAATGGGATTGGATCCCGGAGTAATGTGAATCCAAAACGGTGCCACTTTTTAAACAGTCTCAATATGGTGCAATATACATCTATTGTAGTCTATTATATCTTCCGCTTACAAAAGGCCAACATTGGTCTAATTATCTTCAGTTATTTCATAATGGGATTGGATCCCGGAGTAATGTGAATCCAAAACGGTGTCCTCCTCTTAAGAAAACTCGTCCAAATTCTGATATGATACAAAATGATTTAAATCAAAGGATCATGCTATAATATGTTACTGAAATAAGAGAACCATTTAAAAAAAAATTTATTTATTATTACAGCACCAAAATCAGGCTCCAAAACAGTACTAGAAGATGACTCATTTATGGAGGCCCTGAAGAAGAACATCACTTCAATCACAAGATCTTCTGCTTGTCATTCATCAGCCCCACATGGAAGGTCTCAACTCTGGCTGTATTTAATAAAATATCACCTTCTGCATTACATCAAAGAAAACATCTCACCCGGCTATATTCCATCAGAGTGTAGACAACATTCTATTAAACCTGCAAATTAGATTATGGAAAATCTACTTGTTTCGTAGTCTAGATTTCAGTGACTTTGGTTCTTTCTGGCGAGGACTATTATTTTTAGGAACAATTCAAGCACCATAAGTGTGATGTAATCACTTTATCCACAAGAGCCAAAAGCGTTCTACGGATATAGGATCCGTGCAGAGATATACTATTTAGTAGAGATAGAAAACATTTTATTTTTTTATTTTAAAGTGTTTAAGTTTACCTCTCTTTCTACACGTAAGGATACAACTAGCTTTGGTATTCAATTTCTCTGGCTGTGTCCTTTAATGTGTATTAAATGGATACTACAAGCAGTGTTTTGAAGTGGTCATGGAGCAAGGACTCTATATGTGCATTGTTTTAGTATGCAAGTATTTAATGTTTCTGCCAGAGTAACTCCATCTTGCATGCAAAAAGGCTCAGCAGGTCCCTTGACATAAAATCTCTTTCTGGAACGAGACATGACCAAGGAAAAATTCAGAAATGTTGCAGAATTCTGCAGAACATTTTTGTGCAACAGCTATAAATTTTTGAGCATGAATTAAAAAAAAATAAAATAAATAAAAACAAAAAACCACAGCATAATAATGAGCAGCCGCGTGTGGTTATAGCTTAATTAAAAGGAAGAAGGAAGATGAGAACTTCTAGAGAAAACACTGCCAGGAGTCACAGCCAGGAGAGCTGTGGCTACAGCAAAAAAAAAAAAAAGTATCCCTTTAAAATCAGGGGTAGCCAACCTTCCCCAGATATTGTGGACTACATCTCCAAGGGATGCCAACATGATGGCTGTAAGATTCATTATGGGAGATGTAGACCAAGTCATCTGCAGTGCCAAAGGTTACCTACCCCTGACACAAATGGTCAGTATAAGCATTATAATCCATTTGCGTTATTGGAAAGAACTTTGTGCTTAGAGCACCAAGCCCACTCATGTAACTAGGGCTGTCCATCAAGCACCCGAAAAAACGTAATGCTGGGGTACTTAGATCAATTTTGCCCCTCCTTGTGCCTGTACGCAGGTGCCACATGTACATGAAGTCATAAAATTTCAAGTCCTACGCTACAAGCCAAACCTTCCATTCCAGTGAGAATCTCACCAGGAATCCAGGGTGGGGATCATACCACCTGTGCCCTATACATCGAGCAGTGAGTCTGCTTGACTAAATGGGAGTTTATTACCTATATTTTATTACTCCTGGATTTCAGACACACAGAGAGCACTATTTATACGTCCTTGGGCTCGATCAACGACACCGCGCTGGAAGAACCTAAAGAATTCCACCTACCCGCATAGCCTAGAAGTGGGGATATCACTCTACGCAGTTCATACCAGAGCCGGCCTTAGCTACAGTATATGCGAGTAGGACCCATTTATTTGCACAGTTTTCTAAACTTGGAATATACTGTACCATTGGATTCCTTTTTCTGTTCTCTCTACATATGCACGCTTGGATTTCGAGACACACGTGATCCAGAACCCCATATTAAAAAAAAAGTCATCTATCCCTATCAAGACTCTGCTGTTACCATAAAAGTGGTATTTGATTACGTTTTTCATTATTTCAGTTGGACCTTTTCTATTATTATTACTAGTTTTTACCTTTTCAGTATATATTTAATTTTTGGCACGGCCTTTTATTTTTTGCTTTTCCTTTGTTTTCATAACTATGTAGGGTCTGCGAGTGAACCCTATCCTTTTAGTATGCATACAAACAAAAGTGGATATAGCTGCAGATCTACAAAATGAATACAAAACAAAATAATAGTGTAACACTGTTTAGTAAGATGTAAATGCGCCATGTGGAATATAACTCACAAGAAGGATGAAATAATATCGCCCAAGGGTGCCTCCCCTGATGCGAATGGGGGGTAAAAACCACCACTCCTGTTCCGAAGATGACAGTCAGACTCAGGATTGTAGAGCAGAAGAAGGTAATTTTTATACTTATTTTAAATAAAGAAGCTATTATAATTCCAGGTCCTACGCGTTTCGTCCGCAAAGGACTCTCAGGAACCTCCTGGTATTCAAATTTATAACAGCAATAACAAATATGTGCTGCCTCATTTATTCTTTGTGGTTTTTGCGAGAACTGTTCCTTTGTTTTCTTTTTCACCTGTAAGTTAGTCGCCTCTGAAAGCATGGAGCGTACATGGCACACTCACCAGAAGTGAATTTCTACTCGCAAGGGATAAATTATAATTTGCTAGTCAAGATTTAAAGCCCAGATCTAGATCATGGGTTAGTTTGATTACACAATGCTTCCAACAGTTTTAGCGAATTATTCTTCTGTGCTTTTACAAAAGGAAGATTAAAACGCAAAAAGAGATTCGGTTAAAGCACATTTAAATCCAATGCATATAAAATATGCTACACTGGAATAGCAGCAATAGGAACCCAGGAGCAAATTAAGACAGATATTGCAAAATGACAAACTTGATATTAAACGTGAATATAAAAATATGTTATAAAAATTAAATATGAAAATATATATGTAGATAATTGTGTGGCAAGATCTTACAACCCAGGAAACAGTAATCCCTGGACAAAGGTAATTTATGCCAAATAAATATACTTCCATTAACTGCATAAAATGAAAGAAAGTAACCAGATGGCATCAATCCTTTAGGATATATAAACTGCCATCATGCAAAATATAATATAAGATGTATATTAATGAGCAAGCAAAAAATATCGCCAAAAAAATAATAAAGAAGTTAATTTTATTGAAAATATAAAATTATTATTAAAAGTCAGTTCACATTCGAGGCAATATATAATAGAAGGTAAAATATGCACAATAACCTTTAGTACAGGCGCGGATGGATATGGATAGTAATCCCGATACAGTATCCGATTTCTAGTAGCCGGTGAGGACAGTTTGCGTCTCACAGTGCGTTCCACCTCGAGCCTCACTTCGGGGGGACTGCACTGCTCATCGGATCGTACTGTTCAGATGCCTGCACTCCAAGCTGATCACCGGGCTGTTGTGTTGATACCTCCTTTCTCTATATGGACGTTCTGTGAACTTGTCTAACGCGTTTCGTAGGGAATAGCCCTACTTCCTCAGAGACATCTGGTTACTTTATCTTTCATTTTATGCAGTTAATGGAAGTATATTATTTGGCATAAATTACCTTTGTCCAGGGATTACTGTTTCCTGGGTTGTAAGATAATCTTGCCACACAATTATCTATATATATTCATTTAATTTTTATAACATTTTTATATTCACATATTTAATATCAAGTTTGTCATTTTGCAATATCTGTCTTAATTAGCTCCCGGGTTCCTATTGCGGCTATTCCAGTGTAGCATGTTTTATATTGTTTCTATAGGTTGTTGATGGATCCCTATTTTTTTTTATCCAGTTTTAGAGATTTTTACGCTAGGTCTTTTTTCCCTCTATTTCTCCGCAAATTCTTTTGCATGAGAACCTATTTCATTTGCACATTTAAATCCAAACTAGCTTCTGAGAAAAAATAAATAAATGGCTCTCTTATTTCTATGGTGCTGTAAAAAGATTTGCACGCTATCTACTTGGTATGGTAGGTTTACCAAACTACAAGCTACATTCTGTCAGTGTGGCCAAAAATCAACACTGCTTAACCTGAAATGCTGGTTAATTTTTCTAACTTCGGGTTATTCACTAAATTCAGAATTGAAGTGATATCACAGTTAAATTCCAAAATGTAGGACAGAATTAGCATTCACCTAATCAATTCTGTATTCAGGCCCTAAATTTTAAATTCAATTTAATTCTAAATTTGATTAAAATTAAATATAAATTTTGAATTTTCAGAAATTTTCACTTTACTGAATAACCCCGACTGGTTCCTGGATAATGAATACCCATTAATTCAACTTTCAAGTTTGCCACATATCGTACATTCGAAGTCATTCTTCAAACTTACCTTTTTTTTTTTTTTTTAACTGGTAAATAAATTAAAATACACAAAACCGGTTAGAATATTCAACGCCTGAACTACTGTTCAATCTTAACAGCATAACGTATTAAGCTTTTTTGATAAGAACGAGGATAATAAAATTCGATAAAGAAGATTTTATTAACAAACAATACAACAAAAAGAATGTGAATTTAAATTTATTATACACATCTATATAAAAATATGCTTTGTAATATTTGGTTTACAGATATGCTTTAAAAAAAAAAAAAAAAAAGATAATGATTGAGAAGAAACAAATGTGTGCAAGTTGTAATCAAAGATACACAAAACATGAATATAGACAAATCATGATATATTTATAGGCTGCAATCAGGATTCTTGTTTCATTAAGAAAAGGATTACAATTAAATAAAACACACCCCAACTATTCATGGCTCACATAACCATTTAGTAAGTCCAAGCTAATTGTATGAAATAAAACAGACAAGCTTTTCCCTTTAACATTAAACACAGAAATTACCTTTTCTTTGGTGCTCTCTTGTGCACCAGTAAAACACTGTAGAAACCACATATAGAGAGGTGCAAAAAAAAAAAGTTAAAAGTGACACTCAAGGCACCATACTACTTTAATCCATTTGAGAGGTTTGGCCTCATTAACCATGTTTTTTTCTTAGTCCATGCTCAAATCGTTCTAGTATTTGCATAAAATTAATGTTTGTAGAACGCTGCACGCAAAGCTTACCTTTTGGCCACACCCATTTACTCTAGAAAAATACAGACGCAGGCTTATAGTGCACAATTCTGCAAAACATTTTTTCTTTTCTACAAAAACTATAAAGATTTGTGTGCAAAAAATAAACAGCATGTTAATGAGGTCAAAATCGATCAAAGTCATTAATGTTGCATCGCTGCCCATAGTGTCCCTTTAACTCTTTCAAATGACAAAGCAACACCATTTCTGGCAACATCAAAAAGTATATTGTGTGGAATATGTGAAAATTAGCAAATGAAACAAAAACAAAAAAAATTGCTGAGGGAAAATAAGAATGCCACATGCAAGTATAATAAGCTGTATAAGGCACTTCTATACATACATTAAAAAAAAAAAATTAAAAAGTGTCACACAAATACCAAAACCCACTTTATAAAATACTGGCGAATTGTGTAAATAACCTTGATAAGTTATGGTTCAAAAAAAAAAAAAAAATCCCAAGCAAAGAAAAAACAAAAAAATAATATTCAGCCTCTAAGTTCGTAACAGCATAGAGACAATTGCCTGTCCCTTAAGTTGCATCCTGCAATGACAATCACTTTAAGAAATTTGGAATGCTACCATATCATTCAGAGGATGTAGCTGCGCACGCAGTTACCTGACAGACAGCAAAGTTGTACTCTTTACACCCCCTAGACTGGTAGATAGAGATATGGTAGAATAAGAAAAAAAAGTTAGAGTAAAATTAAATCTACAATTTTGCACGTTGACTAGGACAAGGTACAGGTAACAAGTGATATAAAAAAGAGCAACCATCAGGACAACTTTTTTCCATAAGTACACTTTATCCTCTATGTCAAAAATAATTTTAAATCAGACCTATACAAGAAAGTAGAAAAATTATTTGCATTTATATGGCAGAGGGAGTAGCAATATAAGAAAGCCACGTACTTTGTAATTCACTTGCCTATTCGGGCAGATATATTCAAAGTTAAGGACATGGACAAAGGCAGTGCAGACCAGCACAAAATGGTAGATTCTGCAGAAAAAACTCTGAATTCAGGAAATAAAACAAAAAAACAAATGCAAAAAGATTGCTTTTAACATGTAAACAGTTATTTGGCCAGCTTGAATTTTCACGGTAACAAAGTACATGTCTTGATTACAGCATTCTATAACCTACTACTCTCCTCCCATTACCCCCCAAAAAATAAGTCACTGTGCTTTATTGAGGTATAACATTAAAACTTTTCAGGACACTTTTAAACCCTCTAAAGGACAACGCAAAACACTTTAAAGGCACATAGCCATCAAAAGTTTGATGGTCTTACAAGCATCTCTGAATTGAATGATCAACACGCAAAACATAAAAACTCAAGGAACTTTCTTATCTCACTTAGCACCAGGTTACGCTGACCATTTAAAGTGGCCCATTCACATTTTGTTTCCCCCCCTCTTTCAATTTTCCTTTCCTTAAGTTCCCTGTATCTTAATTATAATATTCTCATCCTTGCCGCTCGTCATTGTTTATATTAATTATCTTTTCTTCCTTGTGCCTTTTCAATATCTGGGTGCCTCAATTTTGTTCTCCTCTGTCCATGAGGTCAGCTGATTGCCCTTCTATGGTATGGATTGTGGGTGAATTTGAAATGAAACAGAACCTTGCTTTAAGTTCCACCCATTGGCAAGTTTTACCAACTTGACCGATATACAGAAGGAAAAGTAATCCCAGCCTTTTCTTCTGTATTTTATGAAAACTTCAGCACGCCGGAAAAGATAAAGAAAGATTCAGACACAGGGAGCTGTGCAAAAGCAGATTAGATAAGGATTTTTTTTTGTGACAGAGCCTCTTTAAATGAAGTGCCCTGGCTGGCATAAAATTGTTCCAGTTCATTGCAGATTTACTTTGATAAAAAGGTTTGTAAAACATTTGGAATCATTGAACATATTGACATATTACCATACGCAAAGTAGGCAAAAGGTATAGTAGTAGAGAATTTGCAAGAAGGATGCATCATAAAATGTTCTTAATTACATAAATAAATATTATAGACCCCGTGCTATCAAAGCATAGGGCTTGCCTGAATCGTATACAAAACCTGGATTCTTCATATTTCAAAAATATCATGTATATTTACTTTCGGAAAAAAAAATAAAGAAGCCATTGCAAAACTCTAAAATAAAGCATCTGTTCCTGCATTGATTTAACAGTTTGACTGCTAGTTAGAGAGAATCCAATCCCATTTTCTCCAAACAGAAATGGGCTTGATAACAAATTCCATAAAACCGACTCCCACTCACCACTCTCTTAACGAAATATGCACTGTTACTCGTGCGAATTACGGAAACAGTAACATTGTGTAAACATCCGTGTAGCAGCATTGTGTGCAGGGAAATACATTCAGCTTAAAAGCCACTAGTTTTTTTTTGCAAAATCAAAAAACCGACATAGCATTTTGCTTACAAGGCACGGCCAGCTTTCTAGAGCACTTAGAGAATTGCATATTGCATATCATGAGGATACATCATTCTGTACAAGTCATAAATTACAGTCCGGAGATTATTTTTTTGTTAAAATACAAATCATCAGTTGAAGGCCTCTTAACATGTCCAATAACCATGTGTTGAGCAAAAATGTCTTTCAAAAGCAATAAGGAATTTCTGGGGGTTTTTTCTCCAGAGGAGATCATCTTGGAGAACCAATATCCACTGTGATTTTTGTGTACAACGGATATTTTTCTTTTTGGATCACATTGTAAGATAGCGAGTTTATTCCATCAGAGTTCATGGTCTGCCTTGTATGAGCTATGAGGTCAAATCTGCAAATTTAAGAAAAAACACAGGACATAAATCAAAACAAAGCCATCGCTTTCAAATCACAATGACATATATATATAAAGAAAATTAAATAAAGGTAAGCGGTAGGTGAAGTCTCACATGCAGAATATGGTTTCCTGTGTTCGAAACTTGTGTTTTGTTACAAGGCCATGAAGACTATCAATGGCCATTTATGCGTGAATGATATGCAAGCAGTAAAAAGCCATTTCAAGTAATGGCTTTAGATTGTGTGATGTCAATCTAGTAATGGTTGCAATTCTCTGATTCGTTATTAGGGGGAATATCCGTCGGTCAGTGAACGTTGCATTTTAATTGGTTATCTCACATGGAGTTGTGACTGAAAGAGACATCCACCAAACATTCAATAAATACTACAGCTCCCGGAGATGGGAAGCACCTCTAGTGGCCATCTGAGTGACTACCACTAGAGGCGTTACTAGACAGTAAATGTAAACACAGCCTTTACTCTGAAAATCTAAAGTTACATTAAAAAACGCCTGCAGGGACAGGCTATAGAAGCCAGAACAACTACATTAAAAGCTGTAGTGGTTCTGGTGACTACAGTGTCCCTTTAAAGTGAGGAAGTTTAAGCCTTTCAAGAGCAGCGATTAAACGCATCAGCTTTAGACTACACCATACTGAAGGTCCATGTGACTATCTTAACGGGGTCCACACAGTTTTCAGCGATAAATCACTATACGAGTCTGATGAATCATTTATCACAGAGGTAAAATGGTGTTTGACAAGAGTAGGTAGAGTAGCAACTTGAGTGTCAAGCTTGGAAGCCTAATATTATATTTTTGGCCTAATATTAAGCATTGTTTAAGATTTTGATAAAAACTCTAGTAGGGAGAGAGGAATGAACTTTAAGGAATCAATCTTAACATGCGATAAATAGAATGCTCATTACTTGCCATCTGCTCTTTCTAATGGAGTTCTCGCAAATTATGATATATGTATATTTACAAATGAAAGTGTACCTCAATAACACCAGGGTCTTCTCAAATATACATATATATCAATATATGGTCACAATGCCTTACTTCATTGACTACAGAATAACAGTAAATTGTACATTTAACTATATAAATATGTGTCTTTGTACCTTACATTTCAGATTAAAGTGTATTATGTGTATTTCAGATAGAATTTGTATATAGAATAGCTGCAGTTTCGATTTTGTTTAAATTTCACTGATTGCTCTCCTTGTTCTTTTGCTGTTGAATAACTCATTGTGTGCTCATTTTATATTTTGAATATAGTAAGGAATGCTTGCAAACATTTTTATAAGAATAGTTCTGTTTTTTTAACATCTCATCTGAGAAGGTTGTGTGCTTTCCTCCCTGTCTGTACTACAGTTTCTGTGTTAAAACCGGCTACATTTTATTTGGTTGTAGATCAAAAATTTATCTACTTTTTTTGCATGGCGCATTACTTAAATGATGGTAATTTGTTTTGTTATCACTAGAGAACAAAAACCACTCTGATGCTGCGTGGTTTAATGTTGGTGCGAGTGCAAACAATGTGCTTACCTTTTAGGATTCGGATCATTTTTGTCATCTCTGTTATGACGGATCATTCTGCATTTTCCAGTTACAGCGTCAGGCCGAGAGATCGACATACCTCTGCTTGCTATTCTGTAATAGAAAATATAAATAGCTTGCTAAATTAAAAACAAACAAAAAAGGGTAGGGTGAGCGATACAGGGAACGGGGGAAGGACGGGAGGGAGACACACGACACACACGGGAAGGTGAGGGTAGACACCACACTGCAGGGACCCACGACACAGCAAGGCTGGCCACATAACAGCTCTTTAAAAGTCAGTCGACACCAAGACTCATATAGACCATCTGCCTCACAGTGACCGATAGACGTCCCACAGAGTGACACAGGTACAGCGAGCACAACCTCACTCTTAGGCTACAATATAGCAATTACAAGCGTGCTATAGTTTATAGTTAACGTACAACCGCTGGCTATTACCAGAACCTTTTTATTCTTTGTTCTCCATATTTGTTCAGACATAGCAATCTTACATTAAGCGATGCAACGAACATGTAGACATTGTAGAAACACTATTTTACCTTGTGTTGCCCCTTGGGGACACATGACGTGTGACATGTCATAAATCCCTTTTATTACAGAAGTCTGGTCCTTAAGGGGTTAACCTACTAAGATTTTCTTGCATATGACAGCCTATAGTTTAATACTTAGACAGCTGTACCTGACAGGCATCTCACTATACATTAAATCAAATCAAACAGGTATAATCTGTGTATCATGCTAACCACTTACATATTAAGTCGTTCTTTACATTTACATTTACTTTTCTCAACTCATAACCATTTATAGTCACAACTAGCCTTCATGTCATAATATATAAAAATGTTCATTGTTTTCCCATGCCATGCCTCAGTTTACCGATGTTAACTGTTAAATAGTGAGCACATGCTGTTGGGGCATGCCAAATGCATTTGTAACCGTTTTTTCGCTATGCACTCAAAAATAAAGAATTCTCAAAAAAAACCAAAAAACCACACAACAGAATTTAAAGTCGATTCTATGTACATTTTGGAAATAAAATTCTAAGTAAAACTGCACTTCTAGAATTTACTTAACAGATCGAAAGAAATTTGTAGGCCAACTCCAAATGTGGAAAGGTCCATAAGAATAATAGGTTTCCTTCTAAAAGAATTGGCACAAACCGATTTAAATTTGAAGGAAAGAACAAGAATTCAGACATAAAATAGTGAATTGCACACATTTATTTAATAGAATGATTACAGTTCACCGGCTTTCAATTTTTTACAAAAAAATATATAAAATATCCTCATTCAAAATAGAAAAAGTACCGATCTCAAACCAAAAAACCAAAAACAAATTGTATAACGTTGAAAGAAGATACAGCATACAGGGAGAGAGGCCTTTTCTTATATCTATGCTGTTATCTTCCTTCAGCGTTATACAATTCGTTATCTCATAAGGAACTACCACAGTTTTCTCCGTATGATGTACCTTCCTTCAGTGGAATTCATTATCTTAGGAAGAATTACTTAGAGCCCATATTAATTAATATGGTTATGAAGGCATAGATATATTACTTTGACTTTAATTAGCTAGCCTAAACTAGGGTTCACACATTGGTGGGAACATCTATTACAGAAACTTAAGAATCTCCCTTTATCCTGCTCACTGAGGTATATATTAACTCTTAAAAAAAAAACAACTAATTTTGGCAATGTTTGAATAAAGCCTATACTTAAGGGGACAACTGAGTAAATTGTAAGTCATAGAAACGCCTTTTCCTTTTTTTTGGTTTGAGATAGGTGTATACCTGTTAATTGCTCTATATATCTCCAGCTTATATCAACATTCGAAACGGCTACTTTTTTCTGTTTTTAATGACAATATTTTCTCTCTCTTTTTTTGTATCTTATTGTATAGGGGTTAAGCCCTAGACACCACTGGAGTGTTTTTCTGGTGATTATATTCAGGGTGAGAGGTTCTGCAGTAGCGAACAACTCTTAACTGAATATTCCTATTTTCTTTTAAAATTTTTTAGTATTAATATATTCCTTAGTACTTTTAGATTATGGACCCCCTTTTAAAACACAAATGTCAAACTCACCAGTGATCTGACACCAGGCATTCCTCTTTTCTGAGGTCATCCATCCAGATGATCTCTGGTGCATTCCATTTGTATTGGCCAAGAATTGCTGTGCTTGACCAATAGGATGCTTCTAACAGAAGCATAGAGTTCAGAAATTTTCTATGAGAACCATCTACAAGCGTTCAGTGGTATCATCCTGTGTGTGATGTTAAACTAATAACACTCAATAATTAAAAGTCTTCAATGAAGAAGCACCTCTAGTACAGGAATATTTATGGCCAAATTTAAAAACATTGCCGTGTCTCTGAAATGTTAATGTATTACACCACCATATTGAAGTGTATGCACCAAGCACACGTCATTAAGATGACATGGTTTAGGTCCTTAAAGGGTTTCACAGTAACCGCCTCATATCACCAAAGTGGTCATAGTGTCTTGAGTCCTGGTGCTACTTTTCTATTCAGTTTTAAACCATTCCCAACTGTTTATAAAGCAGCCTTGTCATGTTTTCTTCCTTTTTCTTCTCTGCTTTCCATTTTCCTTTTCTTAGGACCCTATCTTAATGGATTATGCCCCCCTCTTCGCTACTCGACTTTATATTTAATATCTTTCCTTCCTTCCTTGTGACAGATCCCAAAAACTGGGCGCCTCCAATTTGTTCACCTCTATTGAAGAAGTTGGCGTTTAGCCTTCTGGACTGTGGGTAAGTCAACGGATATCGAACTTTACTTAAGGCCTTCCTATTGCCAAAACTTCCCATGAGAGAGTCTAATAGACGGTTTTCTTATGTGTAATTATAAAAAAAGAAATCAATAAAAAGAGAAAAATAGGATTTATTTAAACATACATTTGGCAAAATAGACACTTTAATTCTAAACCAGAGCCACCATCAGACCATTCCCCCTCTGTGGTGTTTGGGCTAATGGGCAATATAAGACAGAGCAGCAATGGGGTGTGGTGCCTGGCTTAGAGTGCGTGAGTGTCAGTTCACTACTTTCAGCCCATCATAATCTCCCTGAGTGTAATCTCTGACCAAGTCATTCTTCCAGTGGGGGCTGGGATGTGGGCAGTCAAGGGCACTCACTCCGTGTTAAAACCACTAAAAAATGATTTAACATTAAATGAAGAAAATCATCAGGAGACTCCAGGCACTATAACCAATTCACGGAGATAAAATTGTTACAGTGACTCGAGTGTCCCTTTAGATAAACTCACAACCCCATATGGGTTTTTCAGCAACCTCATTCCTTACTTACAAGTAGTGATGTCCCGAACGGTTCGCCACGGACTCATCATTGAGTAAACTTTGACCCTGTACCTCACAGTCAGCAGACACATTCCAGTCAATCAGCAGCAGACCCTTCCTCCCAGACCCTCCCACCTCCTGGACAGCATCCATTTTACATTCATTGTGAAGCTGCATTCTTAGTGAGCTGTCCAGGAGGTGGGAGGGTCTGGGAGGGAGGGTCTGCTGCTTATTGGCTGGAATGTGTCTGCTGACTGTGAGGTACAGGGTCAACGTTTACTCAATGATGAGTCCGCGGTGAACCGTTCGGGACATCACTACTTACAAGGAGTGAGCATCTTTTTTACATGAAACGGAGGCATTAACCCCCAAAAAAAACCCCCACTACCCTAACTTCTACTCCCTTTCTGTGACACTAGGAGTGAGAAGTGTCCATTCTCGTAATAATGGCCTGACATTAGGAAACTATAGCCTTAATTCACTGTCCAGAGCTGGTGTTCGATTGATAGTGTTTGTGAACTTTGATTGGAATTTAATAGGATACCAACATTGCAGGGATAATTTTTGGGCAAAGACAATGTGAACAATATCCAAAAAAAATGACGTTTTATTCCGGTAATGCATAGTAAGAAATTATAGACCTAAAGCTTAACTTTAGACTTCATGGTTAATAGCATGGCCTAGACACATACGTCCTGTGGTGATTCACAAACAAAATGGATCCATCTCTATTGACCTGCCTCTTTGGAGGATGATCTGATCACCTGTGTATCATTAACCTGAATATATTTATACAAGTGGTCATATTTATTATTATTTTTAATTTTTTTAATTGATCACGTCGAAATCGCATGCTTAAGTTTGGTTTGTTCTGCTCATGTTCAAAACTGTGAAGACACTAGGTTCTCGGTCACTTCAAAGGACAACGGCTAAAAATAACGATCCTTTCATAAAGTTTTGAAAGGAAATAGATTCTGTGTTAAATAAGTTATATGTAATAAAATGTGAAAAACTCCCCCATCCTTTTAGTATAGGACCGGAGCTATAAACCAATACTCTGGTTAAACCGTGTTTGAAAACAGACAGTCTCTATGGTCTTTCCGGCTTCACTCCCTGGCCTGCATAGTGTAGTGACATCATCAACATTGTCTGACCCAGGGTGTACGTATATGGCGGACAGATTCGCTCATATACTAAAAGGGACAAATGAGTTTTTTTTTTTTTTTTATAAACTTTTAAAATATATTTAATTTAACAAAGAATCCATTTGCTTCCAAACCCCTTTACGTCCAATAGGCGAGCATCCACGACGCGGGGGATACAGTATTCAAGAGGTAGGAATATTATCATCATAGCGGAAGTAAATTTGTATAAATTTGTACAGCGTGGGAGGGGATACCCCTACGTATGTTTATGGAAATGGATAAGGACCTGAGAGTCCCACAATTATCTGGGCCTGTGATCCAATAAGCCTACCCATCATAAGACTCTCTTATGGATTTCTTGTCGATTATGTTATTGCTGTATAAAAGTTATATACATGGCGAGACCGGTGAGTCTCACTGTTTGATTTACGCAAAATACGCAAATAAATAAAAACGTATTTCCAAATAAGTCATCTAATCCTTGATCTGGATTGCTTTAGGATAATTGTTTAATGCAAGATGTAAGGTTTTTTTATTTTATTTTTTTCTATTTAAAGGACCACTCTAGGCACCCAGACCACTTCAGCTTAATGAAGTGGTCTGGGTGCCAGGTCCAGCTAGGGTTAACCCATTTTTTAATAAACATGGCAGTTTCAGAGAAACTGCTATGTTTATTAATGGGTTAAGCCTTCCCCCTAATCCTCTAGTGGCTGTCTCATTGACAGCCACTAGAGGCGCTTCCGTGCTTCTCACTGTGATTTTCACAGTGAGAGCACGCCAGCGTCCATAGGAAAGCATTGTAAATGCTTTCCTATGTGACCGGCTGAATGCGCGAGCAGCTCTTGCCGTGCATGCGCATTCAGCCAAGGGGGCGGATCGGAGGAGGAGAGCTCTCCGCCCAGTGCTGGAAAAAGGTAAGTTTAAACCCCTTTCCCCTTTCCAGAGCCGGGCGGGAGGGGGTCTGCTGCTGCACCCTCAGGGCACTATAGTGCCAGGAAAACGAGTATGTTTTCCTGGCACTATAGTGGTCCTTTAATAATGTCAAAAGTATCCCTTCAAATGAGATCAATAACAGCCATTATTTATCAAACCATAGATTGTGATAAAGGCCTATTGTCCAACGTGGTCATCTCCCTCTCCGATTCCTGAACATTTTGTTGGGCTCCTAATTTCCATAAGCATTTTTAAAGCCCAACCGTAAACAAAAATGAGAACTACATTCCTGTGGTTTCTAACCATGGATACACAAGACCAGCAGTGAGTCAGTCAGTCTATTATTGTTTTCTTTTGTTATCAAGTAAAATGCACGCTCCTTCTGAATCCATAAAAAGGTATTAAATCCCGCAAACGTGGTATATGGTCTTTAATGCCTTTAAAGAAAATAACTCACCTATTGTATATGTCATCATCTTCGCCACCCCATCCCCAATAATTGTTTGGAAATCCGTTTATTTTCGTAAACTGATCCTTGCTCAAGGCAGATACACCTCCAAAGTACTGATTGTACGGCAGACTGAAAAATAAAAATAAAATAAATAAAGATAAAGCAGTACTACCAACATGCTACACATATGACAAACCGGTTTTATTGACAGATACAGTATAATGCTAACATTAATAAAACAGCAAAGTTATTGTTTTAGTAGAATTGTGTTTGTCAAAGGTTGGTTATGTGACATTTTCCATTTTCCATTTTCCAAAATGGAATATATGCAACAGTATCAATGTTTTTGGATCTCTCTTAACTTTGTTTTAATACGCTGCTTGGCCTGCTGTGCAAGTTTGTTCAGGATAAGTTATACACACAAGTCGAGCTAAATGGTCTTTTTTTTTTTTTTTTAACCTAATGTTAATTTAACACGGTGACTAGACCTAAACCCATTCACGTGCTGAATGAGATAAGAAACAAATGTCAAAATAGAAAGTCAACGAGACGCAACTCAAAGTTAAACTTTAAATGGTATCGCAGTGTAAACAAAAATGTGTTCAACAAAATGTTTCATTTCTCTGTCGAAAAAAATGTAAATTGGAAAATTATTTAAGGCCACTGAATACAATTTCTGTGGATTAGACAAGTATCAGCTAGTGCGATTGTCCCTTGGCTTTATTTTATGGCCTTTTACATGTCATATGATACATGGGGTTCTTTCTGTTCATTAACTGTTCCAGTTATTGAGCAAATAGTGATATGACGAAGAGGTGGGGAGAAAAGGGGGGTGAGGGGGGAGAGAGAGAGACAGGGGTCAAAGAGAGGGAGGAGAAAAAAAAAAATTTGTGCAGGTTTTACACTGGACCAAGACCACTTCATTGAGCTGAAATGGTCTGCATGACTATAGAATCCCTTTAAAAGGAGAGTTACAGAATTTGTGACAGGGTGTACTTTAATAAACAAGCTGGTTTCCACTGTGCAGTATGGCATTTTAAAACACAATGTATCCATTGAAAAAAGGGACAGACAATTAAAGATTATATTTATATTCACCATAATATCCAAACATATACACAAGCACTTTTTTCCAACAATGATAAAAAAACACAATAATTATAAAATAATGCAGTATAGGCTGAGGCTAAAAAAAGAAAGATTTATAAAAGAAAAAAAAAAACACCACACACAAAAAAAAAAACAAAGCGGCCAGTTTTCATTCAGATTGCCGCTTTTCTACTTGTAAAACTTATGTCTCTCACTCTGTTGTAAAAGATTGCAATAAAGGTTGTCTCACTGCCATTTAAAACGTATCATCAGGCATGATCTAGGTAAAAACTGGTAACTGGTTTACATATTCTATAAATGTCAGAGCATGCCTTTAAAACGCTAAACTGCTTTTCATCCTGTTAGCTTTACTCTGTTTACAAAACAAAAAACCAACCTAGCAACAATTGCACACACATATAAAAAATAAATAAAATTAAAATAAAAAGTACAGGTGTCGTGCTGGATTTGGTTACCTGTAGAGGTGTGTTACCTGTAGAGACGTGCTACCTGATCTGTTAGGAACTCACACACAGACAGGCTGAAAAGGGAGGCTCAGCAAAGTCCTGTGTGCCAAGTAAAATTAGGACCTCACGGTGAGGTTTAAAGGGTTACTCCAACCCTTTTTAAATAAATCTATATTTCACTTTGCAGTACCTTGCTTTGCATTAGCAATTGGGTTCTCACTGTAAAACCCTGCAATTTAAGAATACATTTATCTGGAATCCAGCTCAGAGAACCACTCTCCTTGGCTCAGAAGGAATGCTGAAGTAGTCACGGTGGTTGGAGTAACCTTTAAATCAGGGATGGGGAACCGTCGGCACTCCATATGTTTTGCACTACATCTCCTATAATGCTCTTACAGCCATAATGCTGGCAAAGCATCAGTGGAGATGTAGTCCATAATATCTGGAGGGCGAAAGGTTACCCAACCCAGATTTAAACCATGCACTACAGTGCCAATAAAAAATAAAATGAAATGCACAAATTTCCACCTCTGTATCTTGCCACTGACTGCCTCTATCTGGGGCTTCCTGTCAATCATTGTTAGCAGCTCTGTCCACTGAACCGGGCAGTCCACACAGAGAGCGCAAACAATATTTCTATTTCTCTTCTTCATTTGCAATGTTTGCATAGGCTTTGCCTTGTCTGAACAGGATTAAGAATGCAATTTGTTAAGCTTTTACTACAAACTAAAAAGAAAACAGCACCTCGTAAAACTAAAGTCCACATGAGTTACGTGCGATTTTCAATGTATTACTCAATGGTGTAAATTCCATATAGAAATAACAGACCCCCTTTAAAGAGAATGGGTCATTAATTTAGGTGTTGATCTTATGGATGTGACAAAACAGTTTCTTTCAGAAACATTACTGCTCATCCAGGGCTGCTGCTATAATTAACAAGTCAAAACTGGCCGTACATGATTGGCAGGTAGCCTAGTGTGCGTTCAACTACAGTAATTCAGGAGAACCTGGTCCTAATGAGATTGCGTCAATGGATCGCCCCTTTTACCTCCCATCCCCCCTTCAGCATCCCCCTTCTTGGGATGACAGAGATGGGAGGTATGATACTATATGCAGTGAGAAGAAAAATGGATAAAATTGTGTCTTACCCGAATCCAAACTTGTCCATAGACACAGATAAGTGCCTGGGCTGGCTATAGCATTTGTAAATGTTACGGTCATCCATTGGAATGAGATCGACATCACTGAAGACAAAGCACTGATAATCGTACTCTTTCAATGCTTCTGCAAAGCCGACGTTTAACAATTTGGCGCGGTTGAAGGTGATGTCTCCATCCTTAAAAAGAAAGAAAATATGCATTAAAATTTCTATTTGATACTACTGTTTGCACACAGTTTAAGTATATACAAAATGTATATATGACTGTTTCAGGTGTGTCATATCACAAGCTTTGTATGACTCTTCTAAACAAGTTAAGGTTATGACTACAGCGCATCTATTGAGGATGGTGTTAAGAAACCCATTTGCAATCCATAAGGCAGAGTTTGATCACAAAGACCAGCATTAACAGAGCATTAGAAGCGATAAAAAAGCCTGGTTTTACATTCCTTCTCCTAGCAGAGTGCTGATGTGGTTAACCCCTTAACGACACATGACGGAAATATTCCGTCATGATTCCTTTTTATTCCAGAAGTAGAGTCCTTAAGGGGTTAACAGAGACAGCACAAGGGCATTCGATACAACCTTAAAACTATGGCTTCTGTGCATCACCTGAGGACATTTGAAATGTAATTACCCAAGTTTGTTTATAAATGTTGCAAAGCGTTAAATGGGGGCTGTAACTCACACGTTCTTTCTAACAGTTTGACTTCTTACCTGAGGTCCACCCAACACGGCTCCCTATCTCAAAGAGAGCCTGAAGCTCTCTGCCTAAGGGAAGCCCAGCGTTGCTCCCTACCTCAAAGAGAGCCAGACGCTCCTGCCTAAGGGAAGCCCAGCGTTGCTCCCTACCTCAAAGAGAGCCAGACGCTCCTGCCTAAGGGAAGCCCAGTGTTGCTCTCTACCTCAAAGAGAGCCAGACGTTCTCTCCCTAAGGAAAGCATCGCTGGCCTTAACTTGTTTGCAGAGAGCGATGAGCATTGCAGGACATGGCTTAGGAGAGAGTCAATGGAAGCTCACTGACTAGCTACAAGCTTTCACGACTGTAGGGAAAGGGCAGGGATAGACACCCAGGAGTCCCCAGGTAAAAAAAGTCAACCTAAAATACAAGGAATCATATTACACATCTGCAGTGACAAGTTATATCCCCATTACACCTTTTCTCTCATGGATGAGCTTTTATATATAAGCCACGGTAAATAAACCATGTGGATATGGTCAAGATCTTTAGTTCTTGTTCAGCCGAACATTAAAGTGTTAGTTTAGGTTGTGCCAATTGTAGCTTAAAATGTAACAAAAACAAAAAAGTGGCTGACCAAAAATGATCAAACCATAGCATCTAAGGGTAGCGAGAAGTGGACAGAGAAGTCTTTAACGCTTCACCCCCTGCTTGAAGAGTCACGTGATACGCCAAATAGCCAATTAGCATTTAAACAGAGTCTCTGGGGCAATGATGCTAAACTGTAAAGTACGATCAAGTTTTAAACAGCATACAGTACAAAAACTATAAAGCTTGATTTCTCAGATTTTATACGGTCATTGGGAGAGGGATGGATAAAACAGAAAACACAGAAGATGTTTCCAGTATTGCAAAAAATTAACAAATAAAACCTACACCAAACTAAATGGAACGAAGACAGAAAATGGCAGTTTAAGAAACTGTTGTATGCAAAAAGGACATATTATTCCCCCATCGCCAGCTGCACATTATAAAATAAAACCTGTTCGTTTCGGTTTCCTTAAATACAACACCAGATTTTGTAGTAGTTTCTTACTTTTCTTAAAAACCCCTTCCCTTCAACATCTTTAGGTGGCTCTCCAGAAAAGCTAAAAATCATTTATTGAAAATACATTTAATAGGGGAAGGTGAGAGGAGGGAACCCAAGAGTATACACTTTAAGTGGTTTATTGTATTGGCAAAGCCAGATTAAGGTTGCCCAGATTCTGTGAGAGTGTGTGTGGTGTCTGAGTGTTGTATGTATGTAATGGTGGTAAGAGCTGTATGTGGGGGGTTCCAAGTATGGTGTGCAGATAAGTCTAAGTGTTGTTTGAGTGTGTTTAGGACAGTCTGAGTGTGGCGGAGTGTTGTGTGCATGTGTGTATTGGGAGTGTGTGTTCTGCCACCATCCTGCTTACCTTTGGAAGCATTGTGGTCTGATCCAATATCAGGTGCAGACCACTTTAAGGGCTCCGTGGCAGTCTGTCACTCAGTTAATGATTCAGAGTGCTGGTTGTGGTGATCTTGAGAAACTGAACAGTGCCAGGGTCCGCAAATGAGCTCTTGAAGTGAAGTCTGCTACTGATGGAGGTGCAGACCACAAAGCTCCCTCGAGCAGGTGAAAGGGCACAGTGCCGAGTATTTTGTACAGCAACCTATTATTTTACTCACTAGAAAGATTACCTGCTCCATTCAGTTATGGGTTATTTAACTAGTTTTTTTCTTCTTTTTTTTTTATAGTCACCTCTTCTGACAAATTTCTCACTCCCACAAGAGAATTTTATATAGTGTAATGATAGTTTGCACTGAATTTATTAACAACGGAATTTGTCAGTCTCTCTTGTCCTTTTTAATAATTAAATGAAAACGTTAATTATTGTCCCCAATAAGGAGGCAATTGATGTGCACTTAAACTGCTCTAAAACTACTGTTTCCCAGGATCACGTTGCATCATTCATATGCAAATGAGCAGCATGAATATACATTGTGTGACTCTAAAAACTATTAAATCCATACAACTCAAGCAAGACCGTCTCAAATACCACCAGGCAATCATTATGTAGTTACTTTGTACTACTGGATGCAAAAATGCCTTTATTACACCAGCATTTTTTCTTTATTTTTTTAAAATAAAAGTTAAATGTTTCAGAGCTATAGCAGGTTTTTCTATACAGGTGTAATGCTGTGTGTAATCTCACATTAAAGGGACACTATAGTCACCAGAACAACTACAGCTTATTAAATTTGTTCTGGTGAGTAGAATCATTACCTTCAGGCTTTTTGCTGTAAACACGGTCTTTTCAGAGAAAATGCAGTGTTTACATTACAGCCTAGGGATAACTTCACTGGCCACTCCTCAGATAGCTGTTAGAGATCCTTCCTGGGTCATGGCTGCCTAAAATGCATCCAAACATTCAGTGTCTCCTCCCTCTGCATGCACTGCATGCACTGCAGACACTGATTCAATTAATCTCTATGAGGAGATGCTGATTGGCCAGGGCTGTGTTTGAATCATGCTGGCTCTGCCCCTGAACGGCCTCTTTGTCAGTATCAGCCAATCCTATGGGGAAGCATTGTGATTGAATCAGGCCACCACTTCTGATGATGTCAGCAGACTGCTTGTTTTTCTGAGTCTAACATCATGCAGAGTTACAGCTTGTGGCTTGAAAACAGTAAGATTTTGCTATATTTATGGAGGCATGAGGGGCCCAGGGGGGCTAGATGGTGGTTTTAACACTATAGGGTCAGGAATACAGGTTTGTGCTCCTGACCCTACAGTGATTCTTTAATGTAAAACTAAAACTGTGCAGTTTAACAAACATTTATACTCAAAGCGGCACGGTTAACATCAGGAGACTTTGCAGAATTCGCAAAATCGCTCAGAAACGACAAAGCTGCTGGTGGTCCGGTGTCCACGGGGGGGCAATTAAAGGTGAGATTTCTTACCTGAACATGCCAATCGCAGGTGACGCCATCTTGGTCGTGCTGCTCCTCTGCTCTCAAGCATGAAAAAGACATACAACAATGAGGCCTATAGGGAATCCCGCAAGATTGCAGGGTCCTTTCACAGACACAGCCAATTCCCTGCAGCGGTCACTGATGACAGGTGCAGGTCTTGACACGTAGGCACTGCCTTGTCTAAGGAAATGTGAGGTGGAGGGGAAATAAAGAGGCAAAATGGTCTAAACTTTGTCTCTGTATATCTCTTGACTGGGCTGGAATAACAGAGCCAAAGATTATTTATTAAAGATACCATCTTTATGAAATACCAATTTTTAATATGGGGGTGACCATGTCGCTTTAATACACAGTCCACTAGACTAGATTGTCTTCAGACATGGCTTTTAAATCAGATTATGATGATTTCTTTTTAATTAGGTTTAGAGTGTGTTTAATCTTAGGGCACCAAAAGGACACATCCAACACTGCCGGGATAGCAACCGTCGTGGAGGAGGCCGAAGATAAAAGTTTGACGAAATAGATCTTTTAATGTGAAATCTCAAGCATGTGTATACAAGTATAATGTATATAAAAAAATGTGTATATACCCACAAGAAACAGAACTTTTCAACCACACATTTTTGGGCTGACAGGTATATTTTAATCAAGGTAAACCAATGAGGATGTAGCCTACAGCTGTAAAGCAACATAACCCATTTTCAAAGCGTACTACCAACAGGGACTTCACAACGGATCAATTTATATTGGGTGGAACTGAAACACGCACAGTCTCCCAGAGGACCAATCTTCATTTACTTCCATTCATGTTCTGCAAAGTATCAACCCTTCCACCTGCGATACTCCATTTATTCCCACATAGGAAAATGGAAAGACAGACCGACAATAAAAAGTCACCCACGTCTTTAGTGTCGAGGATTACTTCATTCTGAAGAATGATTTGTCCAGGGGGAAATACGAAACCCATGGGAAAGAGGAAAAAGTCTAATTATACTGAAGAATATAGTGTTTGCTTCACGTCCCCAGGGTGATTGGGCTCACATGTTTCTGATAAACTAGTCTTTAGAGACAAAATAAAAAAAACACATCTCCTAGGTTACTCTTCCAATGGATACAGGCTTTGCAAAAATCCTTGCAACACAAAGAACTACACACACCTATATAAGTGGAGTCAAGCTTGCACAGGTACTCTCTTTGCTCTTGAAATCAGTGGGGGTGAACGTTTACAGCAAAAGCACTGAAAACTATATTTATGCAGTTGTGCACTAGTATATCGCATATTATAAAAACTATAAAACCGCTATAAAAAAACAACCAAACTCCAAGACATCTAGTTAAGCATTTAACTTACAATCTATTAAACATGGTAACAATTTAAATTAAATATCCACAGTTACATAGCTGAAAAGAGACACGTGTCCATCAAGTTCAGCCTCTCTCACATATGTTTTTGCCGTTGATCCAAAAGAAGGCAAAACAACCCAGGCTGAGGCTCCAATTTTGCAGCAAACTAGGAAAAAATTTCTTCTCGACCCTAAAATAGCAGTCCGATATTTACTTGGATCGAGAAGCTAACCTTTAGTTGTGAGAGGACAATAAAAAAAATAAATAAAAAAAACTCTGGAGTGTTTCTTTAACAGGATAGTTGATATACCCCAAAACAAACATGATACATTTTTCTCTTGCAGGTTTTCATTGAGAATATATGAATAAACAACTTGCCGAAGCTGCAGACCTACTGTCTGCAGCCTTTGCAAGCACTCCCCTTTAACCCTAGCACAGACCTTCATTTTGTGCGGGGAAAATACTTCAGCCAGAGCATTGAGAAGCATCTGTGCATCTTAATGAACTTTACAACAGCTGATTCACGAGGGGGAAAAGTCAGGCACGCACTACTAGCACAGTGCACCTGACCTTTTCATTGGCTTTGGAAGAGAGAGAGAAAAATTCACTGTCTAAAGGTCAGAAAGGAGTTTTTGGCAGAGTTATAAAAGCGCTGATTTGTTGTAAAATCAATACATAAACAGCTATGAAAACCTCAGACAAAAAGTACTTTAGCAATAAAAAAATTTTAACAAGCAATTAAACATATGGCATGTAAAGAGCTCTTATCTGTCTATTTTCAGTTTGAAAGTAAAGATTGCCAGGTCATAAGGTAAATCACTTTAATGGACCTTGACAGGCTAGATAAATAAAATAAGTACAGTTGACTACCAGGTAAAGAAGCTGCCGTTTGGACTACCAGGTAAAGAAGCTGCCGTTTGGACTACCAGGTAAAGAATAGGGCTATGGTTCGTGCAAGAACCAAAGGATAATTTAGTGGCCAACGTTCTTGTACTTTATAACAAAAAAAAATTAATATATTTTTGATACTATATGACAGTATGCATAGATTTCAAATTACAGCTAAATTTACTTTCTGAGGACAAGATGCAATATTGTTCAAGTCTTTTGTTTATAGCCCCAGGTGTTTCTCTTGTAGCCTTTGTTCTGTTCTCTAGTGGATACTGACAGATCATCTCTCAGCTTTAACACATCACGCGTTTTAACCATCATCAGGATACAAGGCTTTCTTTTTGTTCCCACGAACGGATACCTCACCTGTCACCCAGGTATCCGCTTTCGGCATCTGTTTCAATACTGTTCTCAGAATATGGTAAAATGAAATATTAAAAATATCCATGTCAATAAGCGCTCATAAAATGTAATCGAAGAATGACACTACTTGCCAACGTTCACACTTTTTTGCGCGCCATTGAATATTTGCAATGCAAAGGTGTAGACGCGTGACTTTCTGGTAAGTCAAGCAGAACCATTGAGACAAATAAAAGTCAGAAGAGTTGACTCCTCTCCAAAAAAAAAATAATAAATATTGAATACAGACGTTTTAAGAGAGCTGCACAAAGTATTTAGTAGTTTCACTGTGTCACCAGTTAGGCTGCACACACTGACATAACATTTTTTTGTTGGTATAATTCAGTTACGCTGAATGAACTTTAAACACTAAAGCCGACTTTAGTACTCTAAAACTAGGACATATGGATTATACTCAATGGACATTACCACCATGCTTAGCAGCATATTTTAAAGTGAACCTACTTTTAACATGAAGCACCTCAAAAAGAAAACCAAAAAAAAAAAAACAAATCAATAAAAATCAATCATCAATTGGGGAAGTTCTCAACAATGTATCTCATTATCGATTAGCAGGTGTGCTTATGGCACGGGGCACGTATACGCACTGCTTTACGCCTGTTGTGAGAAGTCTTATTACAAATACACTAAACTCATTAAAGTCCTAAGAAAACCGTGACAAACGTGTGACTTTAATTTTTAATATCTAGTCTAGCAGGAGTTTACAGAGGAGAGAGGCTGTGTTCTACAGATAAAGGTGCCGGGACATTATCTGATGTGACATGGGTGGTGTTTAAGAACGATTTCGGAGAGATGCCGAGCGGAGAAGGCCCATGTGTGATTAGATCACCCGGGAAACTCCTAAATAGTCCTCACTAAGATTGTTACTATTAAACCAGGTGATTGGACACTATGCTTTGCATTATATATAGTGCTGAGCTTAGTAACACTCTGCTGCTGGGGGTTATTTGAATTGATTTGTGCTAGGAGCCGCTTGCTATTGTTGATCATTTGTACTGTGTAGGGGGTTTGTCCTATTACGGATATGCAATCCTTAGTGCTTTGGACTTTAAAAAAAAAGTATAAATTGTAATATGTAAAACATTCAAACTATAAATATATCTCATTTTAAGAGCAGGTTAATTTTTTATTTTTTTTTATCTGATTCATTGAAAGGTATTGGCAGACTAATAGAATTATGAAAATAATTAGTGCCAGCCCTACTTGAAATGCGTTAAATATCTTAGAATCACAATCTGTGACGCCATCATGCTTCGTTACTCCCTAGCCAGTGGTAGCAGCTTCCTGAGCAAAGCCTGCAGGGTTTAGCTCTTGGGAAGAAAGTCCGCTCATGTCTCTCAGCCAGCCCTGCTTAGCAGATTAACTATGGAGAGGTCAATGGAAGTCACTACTACAGAACACTACCTCCTCCTCCTCCTCCCCCCCACCTTAGGTAAGAAGTCATCCTGTTCAAAAACAGACTGTTTACAATGGGTTTGAGCAAGTTACTCTTGGTATCATATCCACTATAGAATGTTGCAGTGGTTATGGCGCTTGGAGTGTCCCTTTGTCATACTAAACTACAAGACGTTTCTGAAGACAAGAATTCATGTTGCTATCAGGCGACTTTTTGTGTGTGGAAATGGCCTCAATTTCTTTTTTTTAAATAACTAGCAAACAAAATAAAGTTGTTCCACAGCAAGACGGACACAAAACTTCATTTGCATTCACAGATCAAGCATTACACCAATTAGGCCAACTTAGAAGAACATTTTAAATACCACATTTACTACAGCTCATTGTGTACCATGACTCTTGTCATCATAACCACTACAGTCATCCATTAGGCACAATATAAAATGAGTACCATTAAATTGGGTAATAGTAACAACCCCTGGATGTTGGGCTACGGTAACATCCCCAGGACGTACTTGAAAAACCAGAGTAATCCGAATGTACCTTTCCTGGTTAAATACTTTCTTATTATAATTATAATAAACAGCACTAAGCGGCAGTGGTTATGGTGCTTAGAGTACCCCTTTATGTAACTTCACTATTTACCTGAAATTCACAGCTTGACTCCGTATACTTTTGTAAATATGGGTTTAAAATCAGAAACAAATTAAAAGCACACGCACACAAAAAACAAAAAAACAACAAGTACAGAAAACACATACATACACACACACCCCTTCCTCCCCCTCAGTCAGTTTGCATTTTTTTTTTTTTTTTTTGGTTATTCACATTACCCGGTTTAGCAGTCAGAAAGGTGTAGACACTTCTGCTTTTTGCAAGACAGGATGTAGAGGACAGGAAAGTGAAAGTAATGTGCTCGTCTTCAGTAATGGTTTATCTACAGTTATACTTAAGAGAGGGAAAGGAAAAAAAAACATTAACAGGAAAGAAACAGTCAGCAATAGTCAAGTCAACAATAGTCAAGACAGGAAGGCATTTTTTTTTTTCCTGCAAAAACAGCAAACTTGCAAGTGGGCATGCAGTCAGCAAATCAGACCGACTAGACGTTAACTAACTGGTCTTCTGGTCAAATGGGCGTTTCCATTATACGTCATTCACCAATCAAATCGAGTAATCGACAATTACTCAAAACAACAACAAAAACAAACTCAAAAGCTAATTAACACTGCCATCGTTAGGTCAGGTTTACATGCACGATAAAATATTTTGTTTGGCACAAACTAAGGGTGCTTACATTTCATAAACTGAAAAAAATGTTACGTGAATACAAAGTCTATTTTGCAAAATATTTATTCAAAATATATCATTTTGGGGCTTTTGTGAGAGAGGGTCGTTAAATTAAAAAAAAAATAATAAATAAATCAAATTGCCTGACCTGCAAGCAATGGTTCACCGGCTGAAAATCTCATCTTAACGGCACTTTTTTACAAAGTTCCCATTTCCATGAGAAAATTAGTTTGACTACTGACATTTGGGGGGGGAGGGAGTGAAATAAGCACCAGGCACAACCAACACCCTTACGGTGCTTACAGGGACACGTTAAGCACCAAATCCAATACATAAGGTGTCTTTTTTGCATAGCTAACCACCCTTTTGCCTGGCTGGTTTTCTATAGGAACCATTGGATTGGACACGAGTCATTGGGGGTGGAGTGGCCACAGAAGCCGAGAAGACTGTCACCGCACGTAATACGTTTTATCGCTTTTCTCTCCCCCTCCGCCCTCCCCCTATAACAAAAAGGGGGCTCCTAGTAATCTAAACAAAAAAAAATAAAATAAAAACGGAACACTTGAATCTTAAAAATACATTTAGCATTATTGTGTTGCATTAAAATTAAACTCCAGTATAACCATATAAAATTTAGTTTTTAATACTAAAAAGTGTTTAACAGGTAGATATTTAACCAAGGTAGGTGCATTCCTCGTCAAATGCCAGAATAAGGAAACAGAAGTTCGAAAATGCAGCAAGTCTATACTAGTCTAGAAATTCTTTTATCTTGTACAGACAGGGTGGAAAATGGTGTAGACAGGTTTAATCCAGCATTTAGTTGTGAAAGCTCTTGCCAGTTTGGAATTTGCATGCCCTTCTGCGTACAGTGCGACTAAAAGGGACACACCTGCCCTGGGTTACAGCTGACTTCATTCAAATGTATCAGTTTAGAGATTCACTGTGGTCAAAGTTCAAGCGTACTGGCTCCATGAACGATCACTGTACTTACAGACATTGGCGAAACGCATGCACAAAAAAAACAAACAAAAATGGCAAAGGCCAATATTTCAGTGAAAATTTGAACAACCTATCAAGCCCAAGAAACCCCTGGAAAATAATAAATAGCATACAAACTCCCACAATCCACTCACAGCCACCCACTGTCAAAACGGACAACCAAACACTGCAACACCCCCTAGATGTAGCAAATGCCTTTGTTGGATGTGCTGCCACCCTAGTTGTGAAGGTAACAATTGACACTCCTTTTCAGATCGCAAACAAAGAACAGGCCCTGCCAAATCTTCAAAATCCTCATTTAGAGAAATTCAATTTTAGACCTGTGACTGTTAGTGTCGTTAATAGACATCTTAATGTCTTTCTTTAAAATTGAAAGACCAGTGTGGACCAGATCAAATCCCAACAATTGCTAAACCTATCACTACCCTTATCAATGAATCCCTGGAGTCAGGATACATACCCAAACTTTGGAAGACTGCAAAAGTTGTACCTATCCATAACAGTGGTGACAATACTTTGGTATCTAACCATCGCCTGATATTATTGCTCCCTGTATTGTCAAAAAATCTTGGAAAAAACGCATCCACAAGCAACTATGTGAATATTAACGATCAAATTAGCTGACCCCTGATCAATTAGGCTTTCGTCCAAATCACTCAACTTCGACTCCCCTCTTAAAAGTTTGCAATGACATCCAAATTGGCATGGAACAAGGAGACTTAACTAGAGCTATTTTCCTTGATTTGGCCTTTGACACAGTAGACCATGGCATTCTTTTGCAAAAACGTAAAAAGTCAGGCATTGTTTTCGATCGTATCTTTCAGACCGATTGCAATATGTGGCCATTTCTGATAGCGCTTTCCTCCCTCTTCTAGTCATGTGTGATGTTCCCCCAAAGCTCCATACTCGGCCCCCGGCTAGTCACATTATTTATAAATGATCTGACCAACGTCTGCAAATCCTCAACTGTACACTTGCATGCAGACGACACTAATCTACGCTAGTAAACCCAAGCTATCGCAGCTTGAGGCTGTGCTCCAAAACCAATTCACCGAGGCAGATGAAACTTCCTAAGCACTGACAAAACCGTTGCAATGATCTTTGGAACTGTACCTAAATTAAGTAAACTACAAAATTGACAACGGTGTATCAGAACAAATTCAAATAGCACACTGACAGCAGTCTGCTTCTTTTAAATATTTAGGTATGTTCATAGACCCCAATCTATCCTTTGGTCTTCACATTGAAAATATTTCTTCAAAACTTTACCCAAAACTAGGTGCCATGTACAGAAACAAATCCTGCCTAAGCTATACAGTAAGGAAACAGATGCTAATGCCGGTCATTTATTATGGGGATGTAATTTATACATTCGCACCGCAAACCCACCTTAATACATTATAAAATTTGTTCTGCCGCTTTGTACTAGAATGTAATTATCACTGTGACAGGTTAAAAGAGCTAAACTGTCTGTCCCTGGAATCCCCACGCAATCTTCATCTATCCAGCCTTGTGCATAAGAGCATTTCTGGGAAGCTCCCACCCTACCTGAGCAGAATGCTCTCCCCGGCTGTTCCCACCTCCTATAACCATTGATCCAGTACTAGCACGATATTTAGCATACTGCAATACAAAAATAAAGTGACTCGATCCTCCTTTTCCTACAGAGCACCGCAATTATGGAATAACCTCAGGGACACAGTCAAATCTTCATTCAATCTAAAATCTTTTAAGAGATCTATGGCAATATACCTCAGCACAGAATGCACCTGTCGTGGTTGAATATATTTATTACCTGTTATGTGTGTTTGTATATTGTATTTTTGTAATACTGTATCCCATTGTAACAATGCAATGTTTTGTGTACAAAGATCCAGGACGTACTTGAAAATGAGAGAAATCTCAATATCTACATCCTGGTAAAATATTTTACAAATAAATAAGTGAGTCACTTGTACCATAATTAAATACCACACCTCACATCGCGCCATTAGACACCGGATTCCTTTAATAAGCTTTATGGTGTTTGCAAGGAATGATAAGACCATATTAGCAAAATGTAAATGTTTTAACTGCCGTTTTAAAGACACTGTAAAGATGAGAATGTAAAGTCAATCAAATAGCATTAAAATAAAAGCATTGGCGTTTCCATTTCATAGAGGGGAGTAGAGTACAAACTATTCACAATAAGGTTTGGCACATACCCTAAAATAAATCTCTATGGATAGGGATCAAAAGTGAGAATCCCAGAAGAATAGTGAAGAAAACAGTTTTTAGTTTTATAGAATCCTAAATGGCTTACAGTAACGGTTATAATATTAATATGGTGGTGGGTGGAGGTCAGGCATGGAGGGAATATAATGAACAAGCCATCAATGGTTAGCCGTTCTTTTCTGCTCAGACACTTAATAGAAACGTGAGGAGGATTGACTGGCTTTTCTCGTGATCCTAAAATCAAAACACCTTGATCCAAACACTATAATCACGCCAACGAGATGAAGCCGTTACAGTGGCTGTCTTTTTACACATGACCTTGAGGAAGACCTATTCATGGGCTGATGAAGGCATAGAAGGGGAACGGTCAGGTCTCCAGAATTTACACTGTTGAACATTGAAAAATCAATTATACTTCTATTTATGGTTAAATTTTTTTCATGAGATAATCTTTAAATATGAATTTAAAAAAACAAAAGGAGGAAAATGACATTCCAGAATGATCAGGGCAAAGCCAAAGAACACACTATAAAGAGGAAAAAAAATAAAAAAACAACCAGAAAAACTGCATCAATACACCTCTTCTCTGTAGGCTCTCTCTAAGCTAATGCCAGACAGAGAACAATGATTGACAAGGAGCTAAGATGGATGAACGCACTTGCAAGAGAAAGATGAGTATTACTACATTTAGATTGTTTTTATTTTATACCTCAAATCCATATTTGTTAAATATAGACAGGAACGGAATATTAAATATCCGGGGATGTGTAAGTCCCCCTTTAACAGAGGCCATCAGCTTTAATACATTTTAGCTGCCTCTAATGATTTTTAGACCTGGCTCTTTTAATAAATAAATAAATAAAATAAAATAAAGAGAGGAGGAAGGGGGCGCCTGACCGCAGAGCTGAGAGGACGCAAGCCTCAGCAGCACCTCCTGCATGAAGCAGAAAACGCTAAATTTCACAACTGAAAAGGAGACCACCCGACACCAAAAGGCCACTAAGTGAGAGCTGACATTGAGGTGAAAAAGACACCACCTAAGGGACATCCCAAGCAGTATGCACCTGGAACTATGGTGAGGCCTACTAGCATGGTAGGTGCAGGAGGGAAGGCCGCTCTCCTGCTGCCGTGACACGCCAATAATCAGAATTTGATCTTTCGTTCTCCTGCCCCCCCGCCCCTCCCTTTGGACCGGTGGGGGTTATCCCAGTCTACCCTCACATGTCTAAACCCCGCCCCCAGCCAGAGTTGGTCAGAGGAATGTACAGACACAAGTCCCAAACAAGCGACAGCACCTGGCAGGCCCTTCCCGGAGTCCAGGCATATCCAGATCGGGCCAAGAGGCACGCCAAGCAAAGGGAACTGCAGAGAGGACTTTATGCTTCCCACAGAGCTTACTCCCTCTCGGTCAAGGCATCGGCTGACTTGAAGACGGGGACTGGGAATTTAATCCAGGCACAGTACCTGCCGCTGTTCACCTTCACGTATTTAAGCAGAATACTCAAATAAGTTTTGCTCCTGTTACAGCGCATGTAATGATGCCATTTGACTAGTGCAGAGACAGGAGGGGTGGGGGGGTGTATCACTCTCGTTGCCTAAAGAAAGCCTAGCTGTTCACAAGCTATATACTTTTATTCTACATGTCTAGCATAACCTAAAGGTCTCAATAGCGGTTCTGATATATATTCAGCAGTTTACTCCAAACAGGCTATATCTCTGTAGACACAGGCCTTTAACAGGGCATCTAATCATTCATAATGAACAATTTAGCATGACAAGCTAGGCTACACATCTAAGCATATTTTATTATAATGTTTCTTGCCCGACTTAAATCGCTATGTCTAACTTGTCTCTAATATATATCCCCCTAGTCTGAGTCACAGTCTTAGACATATCTACCTAGCCTGAACAGAATATAAGAATTGTGCGGTTCTTGCATGCCATGATATTTTTACACTCTATTATTTCCTTAGCTTGTACCTGCTGTCGTGGCAATACAAGCACATTTGTATCGCCAAGCACTTAAACAATGACAAAACAAGAAAAGAAAAAGTAAAAGGGTTGCATGTCACGTTTTCGGTTATTGGTCATTTGACTGCTATGAAGATCTTCCTATACCAACACCTCCACGCTACTAGAGATAGCTATGCAGAAGGGGCACTGTTAAGGTTCAAATTTTAGAATCTGTGTAGAGGTCAAAATCCCTGCTCCAACAGATCCAAAGTAATCAATAATGATAAATAACGCTACAGCATTATCAGGTGCAATGTAGGGTTATTCAGCCATCAAAACGACAGGCTACGTTTCGACACAGTGTGTATCACAGTTTTATTAATTACCTCCACGGTACTAGAAATTTTAATTCAGACTGCCAGTCTTGTCTTCATTCAAACTGGGGCTTGTAAAAACTTTGCAAAGGCTACGGACAAGGGTTTTTGCACGTGATGGAAACGTTTCCAAAACCAAGTGATGCCAAACTAAATGAATGGATATTTGTAAAATCCTCAGATCTGGAAGGTGCTCAATGATCTGGTCTTTGAAGAAAATAAAAAAATAAAAAATGAAATATGAAGGAAAAACTACCATCAGCTCGTTTAAGATCTCAAAAACTTCTAAAAAATCTTGGGCTGAAAGTCTTTAAAGCAGCACTACCACCCCACCCATTTTTACTGTGTTGGAATTTTAGTGAACTTCTAACCCAGTCAAGAAATATACAGAGATAAAGTAGGGACTACTTTGTTTCTGTGTTTCTCCTATGCCCAACTTTCTTAGGCAGTGACTGCTGCAGGGAATTGGCAGAGTCTACAAGGATCTCGCAGTCTTGCGGCATCCTCATAAACCTCAATGCTGTACTCTTGTGCATGCGCAAGAGTACAGCAGTGACGTCGGCTCCAAAAAGGACACAGCTGGAACAAGATGGCCCCGCCCACGAGGGACAGGTTCAGGTAAGTAAATCCTACCTTTACCTTCCTCCTCGGCCACAGAACTCCTAGCATAGATGTCTGTGTCGGGGGACTATGCAAGTTTGCACTTCCCCAAATGGTGACTGTTGCTTTACAGCTATATTTCTTACAATTCCCACTAAGACATGCGACATACTACACTACACTAGTGTCAAGTTTGCTTTCTTTCTATATATCTGGACCACTCTCATACCAAGATACAAAGTTCATATTCAGAGGCGGGGATATTATACCACTCAGGCACATCAATAGGAGCCAATTATTGGTTCCATACAATCCAAGTGCAATCCCCACCCCCCCCCCCTTCGCTCTACGATCAGTAACATTTACTATATTCCTTTTTTTTAGGCTCTCGTTTCATATCAACTTGGATCTGAGGACTTTATCGAGGCGCTGCTCCCTTGACCTACAGTTGCAATCTAGCCTGACCGGATTCTGTTTGTGCACTTCAGGCACTAACAGGTTTGTAGATCATCTCCTCTGTGGAGACCTTTACTTGGACAAAGCAGATCAACACAATCCATACATTGCGACACGGAGTAAACAAAAGGATTAAAGTAAGAATTGCTTGAAACTACAGCAGCAAAGTAAGATAAAGGATCACTGTGCAATAAAAATATGTTGCACAATAAAAACATTAGCACGTATTGTAAATGATTAAAGAAAGTGCTTTGGAAAGGGTCACCTTGTTCTGTGCTTGGGTGGTTTACGCAAATAAAGGCAAGAACAGCAAACTGGTTTCAAAACACTAGTGTAAAAAGAAGGCAAAAAAATTAAAAGTCTTTCTGTGGTGTCTTTTCAGAGACCTATAAAACTTGTACACACTTCCTTATCTGTTTAATTACATTTTTTATAATTCTTTATTTTTTTAGTGCATAGATTGGTGTACAAGCTTGCAAAGACATAACAATAGTAGTTAATGCGACATTAAGATAAATTGTATGTATATTACAGGTTATGACAAGAGATGTGCAGCTTTTTGTTTTAAAATCAACATTCATGGATAAACTTTAATGTCTAAACGCTACATGTAGGGTTTTATGGCATAACAGAGACAGACGTGAGTATTACAATCTGCATAGTATATGCTTAATAGCCTATAGTTTAAAACAAGTGGTAGCTATATCTCCGTGAAGGTAAGTGATTACAATGACCACCATCACATCATGTTTAAAGTGGGCAAAATCCCTGACACATCCTGCATGCTGTTATTTAAATGAAAATAAAGTAATACAAAACTAAACATAAATAAAAAAAGATATCTGCAGATGTGTAGGCTCAATATCGACAAGAGAATGCACACTGCTGTGCCAGCATTATGCAGAGGATCAGTCTCGTCACTGGCCACTCCTCAGATGGCTGTTAGAGATCCTTCCTGGGTCATGGCTGCCTAAAATGCATCCAAACATTCAGTGTTTCCTCCCTCTGCAAGCAGACACTGACCTTTCCTCATAGAGATTCATTGATTCAATTCATCTCTATGATGAGATGCAGATTGGTCAGGGCTGTGTTTGAATTGTGCTGGCTCTGCCCCTGATCTGCCTCTTTGTCAGTCTCAGCCAATCCTATGGGGAAGCATTGTGCCTGGAACAGGCTACCACTTCTGCTGATGTCAGCAGACAGGTCAAAAGGAAACCGGGACAAAGCAAGCAGCTCCAGACTTGAATACAAGTAAGATTTTATTATATTTAGGGAGGCATGAGGGGACCAGGGTGGCTAGATGGTGGTTTTAACCCTATAGGGTCAGGAATAATGTTTGTGTTTCTGACCCTATAGTGCTTCTCCACAGGCAAAAATCAGGGAATAATGGATTTGTTCGGATGTAGATTAAAAGAAATCTGCACAACTTTAGGTGCTACAGTATTCACACACATTGCAGCACTGTGCTGCACTATAAGGGGCAAGGGGTGGGATTTTACCTACAAAAGGCAGTTCGATACCTGTATAAGTCTGTGCTCTTTACCAAGAGGAAACCAAAGAGAAGTGGTACGTGAAAGGGGATGCATGCACGTGTTCTGATCTATATGCAATAATCAAATAATATATCATTTAAATACATCACATTTTGCTCCTGTTTCTTCTAGGAGTCATCTAGTATGACCGATTCATTCCTGGTATTCTGGCATTGTGGATTTTGTTTGTCCTGCTTGGAATAGTGTGCACACCCTGAACAGATTAGTGTGCGCATGTAGGGGAGAGGAGTTTGTTAAACGTGCACAGGTACAACTGCCATTTTCTGTGACCAATTCATGTTTAGACAGAATGATACAAATAAATAAGTTAAAAGTCAACATTAATCTTTTACATGTCCAATGCACTTCTGATCTGGACAGCCAAGGAGGGAAATCGGGGGTGGAGCCAGCACAGACGGTCCGGGCAGCGATGGATAGAAGGTACGTTTTACTATATTTAAAGTGAGGTGAGGGGGAGGATGGGCCTGGAAGCTAGTGTTTTTAACATTTGTGTTCCTGACCCTATAGCAAGGGTTCTCAACGTTAGTCCTCTGGACCCCCTACCAGTCCAGGGTTTAGGGATTACCTGGGTGTGTCTAAGGTGTTTAGAAAAAAAAAAAAGAAAAAACACAACACCTTAGAGTCTAAGGTGTTTCTTTCCCTTTTTCTAAACACCTGAGACACACCCAGGTAATCCCCAAATCCTGGACTGGTAGGGGGTCCAGAGGACTAACGTTGAGAACCCCTGCCCTATAGTGTTCCTTTAACTAAAAGCTTATGTAAGGCTTTTTTTTTAAATTGAATTTATTAGACTTCTGCAAACAAAAATTACTAAAGATTTTATTAAAAATAAATAAATAATTCTGCAAAGAAAAACAAATCTAACATTTGCTCAAATATGAGCACAAGTGCTACATTGTACATTATGCAAATGTCTTTAACCTGGCTTCCTTGTATACAGTACTGGATCACAGACTCAACCATTCAAAAGTTGATTTTAAAAAGCCACATGAAGACTGAAGAAAGGAGAACACAAATGCACGCTTAATTGTTATTAACCCGTCAAAGATCAGAGCAATTGGTTACAATTTAACTCAAGGGATTATTCACTAAACAGTGAACAAGAAACGATCACTCACGTCCCAAAATTTCCAAGATTACACACACTTCTGTTTTATTCTGAATTAGAAAGTGAATGTAGGTGTGAAGAATAAAAATGACATGCACACAATTGGGTGCCTCTGTCTTGACAATCATTGTTAGAAGAAACGTCCTATGCACAGGGCAATTAGCATAGAAAATAGAGCACAGTTCAGGCTGTGAACGGACTAAATTGTAATGTAATTTAATAAATCTAAATTTTCAAACACAAACAGAACATTGCATAAAATAAGTTGGTTACGAGTGTTTTGTAATACTTCATTAAACAGTGAAGTTTAAAGAAGCTCTTATTCCCCTTTAAGAGCTAGAGATTTATTTATTTTTTTACCCCTAATCTGCTATTTGGTCCCAATTTTGAAATTCTACATCCAATCCACAAAAATTCTGTGTTTAACAAACAACCCCCCCTTATCGGGTTTACTCAAATGCATAAAACTACAAAACTAAATTAGAGCGTGGCAGCATAGTTACAAATTCAAGAAGCAACTGAGCAAATTACCTGATTGATAATATAAACTCCATAGTCCAACTGCTGTCTCTGGAGTATGGGGTGAAGATAATACAGCCAGTATTTCAAGTGTTCATCACGATTCCTGAATGGTATGATAAGTGCTACTTTCTGCTGGGCCTTACAGTCCTCTGGAGTATACCGGCCTCCTTCACGAACATTTGGGTTTATCTTTCGCACTTCTTCTAGATCCACAGACACTGAGAATTCTATACGAAGGGGACCAGCTGAAGGGGTTAAAAAAAAAAAAAAAGGTACATTAATATTCTGCACTGTGTGATGCTCTTAATTATTCCAAAGATCGAGAAATATAGTTACATATACACACACAGCTCAAAGATTCCACTAACGACCAATCAGTGAATGTGATTATGACCCTCCAAGCTAGCAGTAGCAGTTGAGACCTGGCTACTAGCTTAGGGCTTATTATGTTACATTTATAAAGATCCTGATGGGTTGAAACATTGATATTTATATTCATGTAATACAGGTTACTTTGGTTTAGGAAATCCCAGTCTCTTTTTGCATTTCTGTTTTTTTATTTTTTTTTACCAACCACATGATCTAAAAATATATGACTTATCAGACTTGGCAACCTTCCCCAGACTTCCTGATTTAAGCAGTGGACACTGAGAGGAAGCGCATGGACAGAGCGATCACCCGCCTGCTGCCGACTTTGGGGTTAAACCATTCGTTATCAGTTGAACTCCTTCAGGTACAATAGTGCCTGGGACCTCTATGCACCATAACTTTATTGAGATGAAATGCCCAGAGTGTCCCTTTAACCAATGCTTATTGCTGAGTATTTCATGAATTCAAAATCTTCCCGAAACACGCATATTGACAGTATTCGTCATAACTCCTGCATTTGGTGGAACCACATGTACTCAGGAACCTTCACTCAGTTTCAGTCAAGATCGGTTTGAAAATAAGTGTGTGAATAGTGAATAGTGCCAGCGGACTCTAGACACCACACAAATTTGAATGAGTTGAAGTGGTTATAGTAGCTGGAATATCCCTTTAACAATACTAGATCTGATTTTTTTTTTCCTTTATTCAATTTGCGTGTACTACAAATCAGGACAAGCACATCTAGTCTATATAAAACCAGTAGGGATAAAATGTTGGAGTGCAGCTAGGAAGTATGAAATGTAACAGGATTTAAATTTTCTCCTCCCAAATACCGATCACTGGTTATTATACGTATTTTAGAAAATAAATTAAACTAACCAAGACACGTTACAGACATGCAACACTGAATAAATAGGATCTGAAAGCATAACCCCAAAACCAACGGATCCCTCCTCCCTCCCCCTCGCTCTAATGTGGCTATGTGTACACTTCTTCTAATTACACTTCTTGTAGTTACCGCAATAGTATCCAGGTTGGACAATGCAAACCGTGCAACTTAACCCTTACTTCCCGTGTCAGTAAGGACATCAGCGCAGGATATAGAGGAGATTATCCAGTATATAAAATGATTCAACTGCTTTATTAAACGAAAATATAGAAATAAAATCGCCTGAACCAACATCACTCAGACAGGTGTCGTAGGCATTTACAGGACATCGGGAAACCCAAATGAACAGGTAAATGAGCACAGCCTTGGAATGAATGTGCCCACCATACCTGTACCAATCCATTTAATAACAAAAAAAATAAAAAAATTAAATTCAAATTCCTTTTAGCACTCCAGAGCTCCAGGAAGCGCGTGATTCTTTAGAACCACACAGTGACATCACACACAGTAATGAATATTAAACCAATAAATAACAGTATTAAGTTCTGTGTTTAGTGTGTTCTCTTTTTAGAAAAGCGCAGATTTCAATAGAAAAATCAACGCTTTAAGAAACTAACCCGGCTACACCTTCCTGTTAAACGTCCAGAAGGGTTTCTTCGTGTTAATATAGTAGATTGTGTTTTGTTGGCGTGTTCCTTTAAAAAAAAAAAATGCATGGTCTAATAAAACTTATGTTTTTGAGTGTTTTCTTATCCAAGACCAAACTCCCAAACAGGAGTTTTATTAGACAATAAAAAAGGCTGCCTCAAAGTTTGTCAATGGGGCTTCAGCCAAATTCTCCTCCATGTTGTAACGGCAAGGTGCGTAGGGCCCTAAAGTGGAACGTTCAGAATACAAAATTTGAGGAGTACCTGTGCACCAATCACAATAAACCTAACAGACAGTACTTTGTACGTTTCATAATGCAAACATGCAATTATATAGGTCGTAATAAAAATGAAAACAAGGAGGAACGGAGGTAGAGACGGTTTCAAACCTCACGAGCCTGACCTGTAGAAATGGTGGAGCAGCCCATAAGTAAATGATTTTTTTTTTTTTTTTTTAAACCAACACATGTGGGTTTAACATTAGTTGCAAATAGGGGGGGCAGGGCCTGAGCCTGCAAGCTGGCCAGACGTGTTTACTGAGAGCTTCTGTCAGCACAAACTTTAAATCAACTAAACCTACACAAAATATAGACAGAAGGATCAGAATTTTGCTCGACAGCAGATCCAACACTCCTATCTCACCTGACCAACTCCAGTGCAGAAAGCTGAGGTCAGCCACGGCAGCACCGCTCCACCCGCACCTGCAGCACGGCAAAGCTACAACAAAACCCGGGAAACCTGACACTGTGCCAAAGGAGGATATGCGGAGGCAAGTGCCTCAAACACTGCCAAGTCGCCAAAAGCCCGGTCATCCCGTGCGGTACAACCTACATAAGCCTAGGCCCGGAAAGAGAGGCCCTCAAGCCCACGACCACACAGAGCTCCTACCCAGCATGCTGTAAAGACACAGGCAATGGAGAGACCCGCATGGGGCCCACCGACAACACAACGACTCCGACAACCCACCTCAATATCTCGCAGCCGTTCCTCTGTGGGACACACTAGCGGGGACAGAGTCCTGGCCCGCAGGCCGCATGACACACGCAGCAAAGCCGACCACGAGCACCGAGACACACTGGTCCTGTGGATGGCCTTTGTCCTATCGGCACGACACAGGAGCGCACCTCCACATGGGACTGGTGGTGCCCACACATATGGAACAGTGGACTCATGCCTTCCAAGGTTGGCAGCCTGCCACAGTTAGGCATCGGTTAAACAGCCTTATGCAGGCCCCTTAATGACAAGCTTTAGTTTAAGGGCATGAGATAAATTGATTTGCTGCTCTACCATAGGCAACAGCTTTACTAACCTAGATTCTCTCTCTGTTCGAGTTGTTGGGGGGCTACAGCCCATTGGTTATTTTATTTTACTTTATTGAATTTCATCCTGCATGTTACCCAACAGTATAATGTTTTATATTAATACGTGTTACTTTACTCCGCATCCATGTGAGTAAAATCCATGGCATCCAAGCAAAGTTAATTTTCTTTTTTGTTTTCCATATTATGCCTATCGTGCCTGATTGTCTGCATGACCTTATACTAATAATCCTGAAGAAGTGGGGGGAGGAAGGAATACTGACTTCAAGATTGCAGACAGAGGGTAAATGCTGGGAAGGTATGAGTATAAACAGGAAAAGATAATATCTATGCCCTAACATGCCTTCAAGGGCACCCGTTAAAAAAAATAATAAAAAAAAAATAAATAAATACAAGCCTCCCACACATGTAACAAAGTTAACCAAACCCCTTTCCTGCTCACCTTAAGCACACACACAAAAAAGTAAAATAAAAAAAATTCCACTTTTTCATTACTTTTCTTATTGTTAGCACCATTTATTATCTTTAGCATTTAGGACTCGTTAGATTTGTGTTTAAACCCACATGTGATTTTTTTTTTCTATTATACTTATTAAAGTTTATTTTTTTTAACCATTTACTTATGGGCGGCTCCTCCATTTCTACCGGTCAGGCTCGGGAGGTTTGAAACAGTCTCTACCTCCAATCCTCCCCTTGTTTTCATATTCAATACTATGGGGTTACCCTCCTTCCCCCCAAATTCCATTAGCAACCCGACACATTCTCTCTGCTTAGATCAACCCAAAAATTACTTATACAGGTCATAAATTTCATCAGAAATTCAGGACTTCCTCTTTCTGAAAATCCTGTTTAATTACAGGCATCTATTGGTTTATACTGAAGCAAGTCACTGAACTTGCGTTGAATTTGCAAATGGAGTGGGCGCAAGTCTCACTGATAAAGTGGAATGTGTTACAAAATTCGGTCCAACCAGGGCAGTGATAATTGGCTGAGAGTACAGGGATAACTCAAACTGAGCATATATCTTAATCTCCCAGATAAAGTAAAATTATAAAAATGCAAATGTTTAGGTACATCAAATGCAGCCTTTGAGACGTCAACATAATCATTAAATACACAGAGGTATTTTTCTGTAAAATTCAATTAAAATTTAATAATCAACCAGAGTCAGCCAATAAAAATGTGTTAAGAATATAAAATCGAGATGTTTTAGTTCTCATGGGATTCTAAATACCCCAAAATTACAAGATGACTACAAGTAGCGAGTTGGCCTAGTCCACCCTACTCCTTCGACTGTGACCTACACAATGCTTACATGTACTAATGGTAAATGCCCCAACTGATGCATGTGGCCCTGTAGAGATACTCTACATCCATATGACGCATGTATTCTACGCCACATTGCGCACACTTAGCCTGCAGTTTTCTTAAGCGGATTGGCTCACCACATATATCATGACATCTCCTCCTGGACTTCCTATTTACCTTGTCCCTGTTCTCCATAGACGGGTGTTTTTTGCATGCTTACCTTTCCATATTTTACTTATCGTTACAACTTATCAGTCTATATATCTATGTATAAAATTGTGCAAAATGCATCTCCACCATGCCTTGTATTTATGATTTCATAATGTTGAAATAAGAGTTATTGCTGTCGTACTACACGTACATCTGTTCTTTGTTCGCACAAAAATAAAGAATGTCAAAAACCAAAACTTCATTCTTACACTTTTGTTGTACTTGGAGAACATGAGCTCTCTTGTTGATTTAATTTACATTTTTTTTTTTTTTAATTCTTTATTTTTCGTGCGTATGTCATCATGTCAACATCAATATTTGTAGTAATTTCTTAGGTACATTTCTTGCATTACATTGCGGTTAACATTTTGGATAACATTAGTAGGAGGGTTTAAAGCACTTTTTCTGATCTTAAACATGTGAGGTAACAAGCCCGGGGTTGGCCGATTAGTGGCAGGTGTGGTAGGTGGTGATCTAGTCCCCTGGGATACTACAGATTTGGGCGTGTGGGAATGCTCGTGATTTCTAGTTGTGATTGAGCAGGGTATCTGGGAGCATGTATATGCGTGGTGCAGGTTTGGATCAGGCGTGTGGTGTCAGATGCCTGTGTGTACCTGTCTAGGTGCCCTCATTAGGTTTAAGTATGGTGGGTTATCAAGTGTGTGAGGCTTCGAGGTAAATCATGTGGCATCTTGACCGTTTCCCCTTACCTTGGGGATAGCGGGGTGGGGGGGAGGGGGGCAGACTGGTTGTTTCTAAGGTAGGTGCCATCTTCTTGTCTGTTGTTGGGGTCTGTTTGGTATTGTTGTGTGCATGGGCACCTCATGTAAGTAGTAGTAGTGTTTAGTACAGTGATAATACAGGTAAAGACAAAAACAAACAAAACAAAAACAAAAAACACACAAACAGATCACATAGGGAGAAAGTCGCATACGTGAGGTTATGCACAGGTATAGAATGTTATAGCCCTCAAAGGCCAGCGGTGTTTTGCCCTTTTGGGCTGTCATTATTTGTATTTTATCTTGCACCGTTGTGCAGCGCAGGATTACATCCCTGGATGGGCTGGGTGAGATACGGACTGAGCCTGTGACTCTAAATTCCATCCAGGACAATTTTCTTGGCCGTTGCCTGAGGCAGTATTGTGTGTGGCGAGTAGCCGTCGCGTGTATTGTGCTAGTTCCTCAGTTGGGACTGTGGTGGGTACACCCCGGATTTTGATGTGGGTCTGGTGCCGTTTGTCGTCCAGGGACATGAGTTGAGCAGCTAGTACGTGTTGTTCCATTTGAATTTGTTGGACAGAGTCTGAGGCCGGAGACCTCGTCCTGAACGGTTGTGATGTCTGCCTCTGCAGTTCTGACACGGTCCGTTACATGTTTTATGTCTGTTTTAACCCTTGCGACATCAGCTGCCAGCAGTTGTTGTATATTTACTAGGAGTGCTTTCAGATCCCCTTTGGTGGTAGGGGCTGAGTCGTCTTGGGTGTCAGGCGATTGGACGTGTTCCGCCGGGGGAGTCCCTGCGCCGGTTGGTCCGTCCCTGTTCGGATCGGAGGTAGGACTGCTGGTGTTGAGGTGCATGGCATGTGCTGGTTCTGGGTGTGTAGGCCGGGACAGCATCTCCCCAATGTCTCTACCTTGTGTGTAGGGGCCGGTTGTGGGTTTTTGTGAGCGGCGGCCCATGGTAGCCTTTCCTGTGGCCTCGTTGGGTGTGGAGAGTTTTGAGTAGATCCCGTTAAGGTAAGCCTCCAGGCCCCGGTAGGCCTCCAGGCCCCGGTAGGCGTGGTAGGCCGCGGGTTTGCATCTGTGTTTGAGCTGCTTAGGTGCCTGGAAGAATGGCATTAATCGGTGTTTTTAGTGGATGGATGGTGCGGTAGATTTTTGGCAGGTTGTCTCTGGTTTTGGGAGAGCAAGCTTAGATGGCGTCTGTACAGGATGGCTGCCAGGCTCCACTAGGACCCTGCATTTTAAAGGGACACCAGGCACCAATACAACTCCAGCTTACTGTAGTCTTTTTCATGCAAAGCCTGTCTCGGCACTCTGTTTTTAGTTTGAAGTGGTGGTGTTTACATTTGACCCTCAGTTAGCCACTAGAGGGGTCTCCTGTAATGGCATGCCTTCCAACCATCCAGATTTAGGCTTTATGGGACCATCGAACAGTATCCAAAAAGTAGAGCACAAGCGCATCATTGGACTAGCTTCATTACGCTAAAGGCACTAGGACCCTGCAGACAGCACTGAAACAGTGCTCGCTCCATATCCTGTCCTCCGTGGGCTGGCCTGTGGGACTGGCATGCATTCATGCCAGGCTGACCTGTCAATTCTTTGGGCAGCACCAGTAACACAATTTAAGTCCCTAGCCCGCCCTCTTCTACACCCTTCCAGCAATGGCCAGCTTGCAGCCCAACATTTGACATCCTTGCATGAAAATACTGAATGCTTCCCATAGTGATGAATTCATGTAAGGCTCTATGAGGAGATGCTGATTGGCACAGTGCTGTGATTGCCTCGCATGCATTGTAGGCCCCCAATTATTCTTTATGGAGAAGCATTTGATTGGTTTAGATAATCAGCAATGATGAGTTCAGCCAGGGGATGAAGAGGCTGCTGTAGTGATGGATGAAAGGCAAGTAAAATTGATTTTAATATTTAAAAGTAGGGGGCCCAAAATTGTGCAGGAGAGAACTTTGTTACCAATAGGTCTGTATTCCTTTAAGCAAACATTTTTCTCTCCATTATCACGCTACGTGGAATAATTCAATGGTCGCTGCACCAGTTCTGACTAGTCACAAAAAAAAAAAAAAGGGCTGCATTCCCTTCACAAAAAGTGCATTACTTGCTTTGAAAGTGCTTCAGCATTCATCATAAGAGGAACAACACACAAACATTTATTTTTGTTCAAACCAAGAATAGGGACAAAAACACCTGGTATGAGTGCATGTTATTAAAAGAATTAGGGGGGGAAAAAAAAACAAATCAAATATCAGATGGCTAAGATTTATTTTTATGAATTAGTTTGAGAGGGAGGAGTAACGTCCTTGTATCATGGCATATTGGTGAGAAATGCCTCACTGTATATTTTATGAAATATATTTTAGACGGCATGATATGGTTCGTTTGCCAGCCTCGCACAAGGCTACAAAGGCAAAAAGCATGTGGACATGCTATTCCAGCAGTGCCAGTTGTTGAGATAAGCAGATACACACACGGCAGCTCACTCGCCAGAGATGTTGGCTGATGTTTATCCGTACTGCAGACTTAAATGACTTTCCATAGAATGTCACCGTTATCAAATAGCTGCCTCAGCATGTCACGTGAACTATGAACACTGTTCATGTTTAAAGGATTACAAACACCATAAACCCTACAGCTCAGCGCAATGGATATGGTATACAGGACATGTGGGTGTCGCTGCCCTGGTTGAGGTTGAATTGTTTCTGCATCATAAATTAAAGCTGCCCCATCCTTTGCTGGCAATGACTGGCTGAGAGAACTTGGCTAATCCACCCAACGAGCGCTCCGTCTATCACTGCCATCCAAAGTTGGATGGGTTTTGACAATAGAGAGACTGCAAAGCGGCCAGGGTTTGAGTACTTGGGAGAGCCCTGTTTTGGTATTTTTAATCAAACTGCTTGAAAGCAGTTTGACAGAAAAGTCTTGAAGCACCATAACTATGTAATTGTGCTGTAGTGGTTATGGTGTGCAGAGTATTCTTTTAAGTGTGAACTGTGACATAAGCTGGACCACAAATTTTAAAGGGATGCTGTAGGCGCTCAGACCTCTTCAGCTCATTGAAATAGTCTGGGTGCTGTGACCATTTTGCACCTATGTGTTCCAGAGAAACTGCAATGTTTACATTGCAGCACTAAGTCTTCCCTCTGTGGCTGTCTACCAGACAGTCACTAGAGAACTTCCGGAATCCAAACAGACTTTTGGTCCGTTATCTGATACTGTATTTCCTCACGAACCTCCAGCGTCAGATTTCGCCATAGGAAAGCATTGAATAATGCTTTCCTATGGGGAGGTCTAATGCACACAATGGGGAGGTCTAATGTGTACATTAGGTCTCCCCCCGATGGCTGATGTCAGCGGGGGAAAGAGCGTGGGCGGAGCCTGACCCAGCACCGAGGGACATTGGCGCTGGATTCAGGTAAGTGGCTGAAGGGGTTTTAACCCCTTCAGCCCTGAGGGAGGGGGGCACTCCAGGAGCCTATAGTGCCAGAAAAACAGGTTTGTTTTCCTGGTACTATAGCATCCCTTTAAATTGAGGAATGCTAAACTCCACTTGGCTACCAGAGGGTCATAGCACGCACTCTCTACAAGAAAGATAAGCAGGAAAAGGGCAAAACACAGACCCAAAACTCCCAACTCATAACCCCCTCGTGATGGGGACTGCAGAGTTAAGCAAAAGGAGCTGATGAGGGGGGAGGGGTGGGGAGAAAAAAGGAAGATTGTGGCACTGACTGAAGAAAACCCAATATAAATGTATATCCTGCACATTAATCTGTCCCTGAAAATAAAGGAGATAAATACAAAACAAATACATCAAACAAAACATTTACAAACAAAACCTGACTTGCCCAAACCAATCATAACTAGCACACACAACAAACTCCATTAAAAGTAGAGATTGACTGATGCAGATTCAGATCATTGGTCGCCTTTAGGGCCGATTGCTGATATTCATTGCCGATATTCCGTACATTTGAACATTTAAACTTTTGAAAAAGCAACACAATTTCTACACAAATCTGGCATTAACCGAACATGCTGTCAGGAATTAAAGTCCTATCAATCTCAGGCAGCCAGTACATCCTGGGATCATTGAGATCACAGAGATCGCAGCACGTACAGTGCAGTTACTGAAAGGAGTAAATGATTGCTGACAATCGCACGCCTATCAAACTCAGTCAGCCAGCTCTGTACATTACAGAGGATTATTCACTGTCTTAAAGCCTTCAGCTGACCTCCGCATGTGATGACTCACAGGGAGTGGTGAGGATGCAACATCGTGCCTGATCAGGGCTGGTGCAAGGAGTTTTGCCACCCTAGGCATTAAGCTGTAGTGGTTTTGGTGACTATAGTGTCCCTTTAATGTGAGGTATTAGAGATTAGTGCCACTAACAACATACTGGATTGCCTCCTTACCACCACATGAGGACAAGAGGATGATAATGGGCTTAGGCTGCAGTCTGGCGTTTAAACAGGCTCTCTGGAGCAGGGTGGACTGGGGGAAAAAATTTGGCACAGGCATTTTTTAATCACAGCGTCCCACTAAGAAGGGGTAGGGCAGAGGTGGTGTGCGCAATATAGTAACATGCTTGCACGGTTTCCTTACAACTCGTCTCTGGTGTCTCTAAATGGGATACCAGGCGATAAAAGGGCCAGGAAAGAGTATTGTGCATGTGTTTGGAGCCTGCTTGTGGTATTTTGTGTGTGTAGAGTGAGCTGATTGTGGTATAGTATTGTGTAATAAGGTTGGTTTTAGTCGTGTTGTGTTTATGATGTAATGTACTGCATGTGTGGCTAGGGGTTGTAGAGATTATATATATATATATATATATATATTTTTTATAGGAAGTATTGTGTGTGGTGCAGTGTGTTGGGGGTGCTGCGTGCGAGAGAGGGAGATGTGTGTGTGTGTGAGTGGGAGGTGTGTGTGTGTGAGAGTGGGAGGTGTGTGTGTGTGTGTGTGAGTGGGAGATGTGTGTGTGTGTGTGAGTGAGTGAGTGGGAGATGTGTGTGTGTGTGTGAGTGGGAGATGTGTGTGCGTGGGAGATGTGTGTGTGTGAGTGGGAGATGTGTGTGAGTGGGAGATGTGTGTGAGTGAGAGGGAGATTTGTGTGTGTGTGTGTGAGTGTGAGAGGGAGATTTGTGTGTGTGTGTGTGTGTGTGCGAGGGAGATTGTGTGTGTGTGTGTGTGTGAGTGTAGAGAGGAGAGATTTGTGTGTGTGTGTGTGTGTGTGTGTGTGTGAGTGAGTGGGAGATTTGTGTGTGTGTGTGTGTGTGTGTGAGTGAGAGGGAGATTTGTGTGTGTGTGTGTGAGGGAGATGTGTGTGTGTGTGTGAGGGAGATGTGTGTTTAGAGGAAAAAAATTAAACAATACAAAACAAATAGAATTGGAGCAGATATAAATGTATTTAACCCAGAGCATTCATCAGTTTCTCCAGTTTTCAGGTATTTGTTCTTTTTTTAAACCGTAATCCAGAGAATATGTTGCCAAAACACACATTCAGGGTAATGCGGATAATCAGTGTGCTAAGAAACAGTGTAGTTACAAATACAAAGCACAATGAGTTTTAAAATTCCACATACTGCTGAAAGTTCTACTTTAGGTAATCCGGAAAAACCTGGCTAATAGCAGCAAGAGAGTAGCCAGCAGAATTTGAAAGAACTTGTGGGATCACTCTGTTTAATTTATGAAGTACTGATCATAAATATACTGGATCAACAGCTGTTAGCACTGTGGGACAAAGCAGAGCAATGCACACACTGATTTCGTGGCCAATGGCCACGTGCAACATCTGTATTTCTGACCAAATGACAGAAACCCAGATGTCCCAGAAATATAACTCTGGTAATGGCTTTTCAGCCTTTATGGTGGCAAAGCATCATGGTATTTTCAGTTAGGTGAGAGGGTAGCATTAACCCCTTAGTGACCAGACCAGGGCTGTTTTTATGAAGGTAAATGCACAATATATGTGTCCGTCAGAAATTATGTTTTCAAGAATATGTGTGTGTGTGTGTGTGTGTGTGTGTGTGTGTGCAGAGTGTGTGTGTAGTGGATGCAGAGTGTGTGTGTAGTGTATATAATGAATGCAGAGTGTGTGTGTTTGTGTAGTGTGTGTATAGTGAATGCAGTGTTTGTGTAGTGTGTATATAATGAATACAGAGAGTGTGTGTGTGTGTATGCGTGTAAAGTGAATGCAGTGTGTTTGTGTAGGTATGTAATGTGTGTACTAAGGGGGGGGGGGGAGGGCAGGGGAGCATTTTTATATATTTTTTTAAAATATTAAATTTTTTTTTTTTTAGTCCCCCCTGCTTCTCACTTGGCCAGGGAGGGGGGATATGGCATTCACTGGTGGTCCGTGGCATGGACTGTGCAGTGGGGGCCCAGCAAGCTTACCTTCCCAGGAGCTACCCTGCTGGGAATTTAAGTAAGAGCTTGCTGCGGGCCCTCCGGGACCGTTGGTCCTGGTCTGTATTATCAGCATCTCTATAGGCAGATATCTTGAGTAAGCCTTTTTTTCATCATTTATATATAGAAAAGCTGAGCCTGTAGTTGTGGGAGGGGATATTGCTATAAATACACAGGTCGCCCCTTCCTCTGGGCTGAGACTACCTGGTTCAGTACAGATCCATCTACTCCCAGTTCAACACAAACTGCCTAAACTCCAGACAAGCTTGCGGCCCATGCAAGTATTCATTTGACCTAATTCTCGTAAAGAGTCTCCTCCCTCGAAGCTTATGGGGCACCTCTGTGTCTGGCCCAGCCACGGCTGTTACTGTTCACACATTTTTTTTATTTTTATTTTTCCTCCACAAAACCAAGTTTGTTCATTTGGATATGGCGAATTTCACTACTAATGCACATTCAGCCTATTGCAATCTTACATAGCATTACAGTGATGCCTCAATTAGGTTCATGCTTTTACTTACTGTAATTGGCCATATCAACTTTTATCATACGCAATTCAGTTGTCACCCTTTTTATGTTTCATTTATCTGCCTTGCGGGTTTTCATGTACTCATTAGGACTAAATTGTTTAGTAATTATTATTATTATGTAGTTTATATAGCGCCATCAAATTCCGCAGCGCTTTACAATGGGTGGACGAACAGACATGTAGTTGTAACCAGACAGGTTGGACAGACAGGAACAGACAGGAACAGACAGGTTGAGGGCCCTGCTCAATGAGCTTACATGCTAGAGGGAGTGGGGTAAAATGACACAAAAAGGTTGGGATAGTATTAAACTAGTGACAGTTGCAGAAGAGGAATCAGTCGGGAGCTATTAACAGTTTAAGTGATACGCTTTTATGAAGAAGTGGGTTTTTAACGATTATTTATAATTATGTGGCTAGGTGTTGCAACTGTCTAAATTTATGTATGGCCCAAATTTGGGCCTCTACATGTGGTTGAGGAAATAGAAATAGAAAACCGTTTATATACAATCTCTGTACACAATAAAACTTTATAAAAATAAATGTATCCTGTTGGGAATATTTTCTAAATGTCTAAACATCTTCTTACTAAACAAACTCCTAAAATGTATAATGTATTTCAGTTGCAAACCTATTTTTAATGTTTTATTTCTCTGACCTCTGGGTATTCAGGCACTCATTGGACCTACATTGTTTATTAATCATGTGGCTAGGTGTTGCAACTGACTGCTTAAATTTAGGTCATGTATACATGTGATTATTTAAAATAAAATAAATACTGGATTTGTTTCCCTGTAACAGCCTGTTTGATATGTGTTCGGTTATTGGGATTTGTTTTTTGCACGCTTACGAAGTACTAAGCCATCCCTGCATATTTAAGCCTTAACCCCAAAAGGACGCTGGATGGAAGTTTTCCGTCATTGCAGTACTTCCCTTAAGGACACAGGACGGAAAATTTCCGCCCAATACTAAAATTAACCCCAGATTGTCACAATCGCGGCAATTTGGGGTTAATTATCCTGTAGTGTGTCTCGTGTTAAAGACACTCTAGCAAGCAGTTTCACTGATTCAGACCATGTGATCGCTCTGAAAAGGAGTCAGAGTGATCACACATGCTGCAGTGAAACCCGATCTGTCTCTGCTTTTATGTGTGTGTCTGTCTCTCTCTCTATAGTATATATATAAAACCTGTTATAAAATCCCACTCCCCTCTCAAATAAAATTTAACCCTTTCCCTGCCCTTTGATCACTGCCTGCACGGTGTTTCACGGTGATCTGATTTTTTTCTTTTAACCCCTGAGGATTAACCTTTATTTTTCTTTTCTTCCTCAGGGTTTAAGTTTAAATTTAGTTAGTTACTTAAACATTTGTAAAATATTTATTTAGCTAGGGTGGGTAGGAGTTAGTGGGGAAATTGGAGGATTCAGTGTTGGGTTAGTTAGGTGTTAAAAGTAAAAAAAAAAACACACCACTTTTGAAAAGTTTAAACCGTTTAAAAATTGTAAAAAAAAAAAAAAAAAGCCTCTTCACTTGGTCCAGTCTAGCGAAAAATGATACCACACTAAGGTTTAAAATATGCCCTTTGAAACACCCAGGGGTGTCTTCTTTAGGAAATGGTATCCCGTTGTGAAGTAATTGGAAAACACAACCTATTAAAAATATTCCAAAGTGGGGCATGGACCCAGCGTAAAAATTCAAACTTAAATGGCTGTGTCTCAAATGTGCCCCTTCAATGTTGTCATATACCTGTATAAAAGGTACATACAGGGGTATTGCTGTACTCAGATGACATAGCTGAGCAACATATGGATTTTGTAGCACATCTAAGATTTGCAAAATATATATTACAAACTACTTGTGTGTGTCAAAAAGGCATAAATACTACTTGTTACCACTACACTTGGTACAAGCTAGCAGAAAAATTATTTCACGCTAAGGTTCAAAATAGGTCACTGGAAATACCTTTGGGTGTCTTCTTTAAGAAATAGTATGCCTTTTTGGGGTAGTTGGAAAAAGCAGCTTGCTAACATATTACAAAAGAGAATATGGACCCATTAAAATCCTCCATGTAAATTCACACTTAAAAACCTGAACTTGTCACGTCTCTTTTACAGCACTGTAACTTGACAAAATAGTGTTTAGGTCATACATTTGGCTTATTGTTTTACTCAGAATAGGTACCGTATATACTCGAGTATAAGCCGAGGCCCCTAATTTTACCCCAAAAAACTGGGAAAACTTATTGACTCTAGTATAAGACTAGGGTGGGAAATGCAGCAGCTACTGGTAAATTTCTAAATAAAATTAGATCCTAAAAAAATTATATTAATTGAATATTTATTTACAGTGTGTGTATATGATGAATGCAGTGTGTGTATGGATGCAGTGTGTATGTGTGAGTGCGATGCAGTGTGTGTATGTGTGAGTGCGATGCAGTGTGTGTATGTGTGAGTGCGATGCAGTGTGTGTATGTGTGAGTGCGATGCAGTGTGTGTATGAGTGAGTGCGATGCAGTGTGTGTATGAGTGAGTGCGATGCAGTGTGTGTATGAGTGAGTGCGATGCAGTGTGTGTATGAGTGAGTGCGATGCAGTGTGTGTATGAGTGAGTGCGATGCAGTGTGTGTATGTGTGAGTGCGATGCAGTGTGTGTATGAGTGAGTGCGATGCAGTGTGTGTATGAGTGAGTGCGATGCAGTGTGTGTATGAGTGAGTGCGATGCAGTGTGTGTATGAGTGAGTGCGATGCAGTGTGTGTATGAGTGAGTGCGATGCAGTGTGTGTATGAGTGAGTGCGATGCAGTGTGTGCGATGCAGTGTGTGCGATGCAGTGTGTGCGATGCAGTGTGTGCCATGCAGTGTGTGCCATGCAGTGTGTGCCATGCAGTGTGTGCCATGCAGTGTGTGCCATGCAGTGTGTGCGATGCAGTGTGTGCGATGCAGTGTGTGCTTGTGTTGCAGAGCTTTGGTGGGGGGTGGGCATTTTTATAAAAAAAAAAAATTTTTGGTTATATTATTTTTTTATTATTTATATATTATTAATTGATATTATTTAAAAAAAAATTGTTTTATTATTATTTTTATTTATATATTAAATTTATTTATTTATTTTTCGTCCCCCCTCCCTGCTTGATACATGGCAGGGAGGGGGGCTCTCCTTCCCTGGTGGTCCAGTGGCATTGGCAGTTCAGTGGGGGGAGGAGGGGAGTTGGCAGAGCTGTTACTTACCTCTCCTGCAGCTCCTGTCAGCTCTCTCCTCCTCCGCGCCGGTCCGTGCAGCTCCTCTCTCAGCTCACAGTGTAAGTCTCGCGAGAGCCGCACTATGACCCCGCGGCTCTCGCGAGACTTACACTGGGAGCTGACCGAGGTGCTGCACGGACCGGCGCGGAGGAGGAGGGAGCTGACAGGAGCTGCAGGAGAGGTAAGTAACAGCTCTGCCAGCCCCCAGTCTGTATTATGGCAATGTAAATTGCCATAATACAGACAGTGACTCGAGTACAAGCCGAGTTGGGGTTTTTCAGCACAAAAAATGTGCCGAAAAACTCGGCTTATACTAGAGTATATACGGTAACTAAGCATACTTAGGGGGAATTTATGACCGTAGCACTTATCAGATTTACGAAATACCCAGAGAAAATGCAACATGTAAAAAAAATTATCACCACAAAAGTTGAAATAAATTGGTGAAAAAATGGTCTAATAAGATACCCTGGAGTGTCTGCTTTCTCAAATGGAAGGCATTTGAACAGTGAAATGGCTATAATGCCACAAAATCAGACATATGACCATCTATGAAAATTCCAACTATAGAAACTGAAATAGCATGGTCTCCTATATGGTCTCCTATATGGCATTGTAGCTTCACAGAATAGTGGCAAAGGCATACAACGGGGGTATCGTTGTACTCAGCAGATGTATTTGAACACAATATGGGGTTCTGGGCAGGAATAGCACACTCCAGCTTATGAAATACACATTACAAAAACCTTATGTGTATATGTCATAATAGAGAAAAAATAAAATTTTACTCCAATATTTAGCAGAGATTGGCGATACAATGGCTCCGTAAAATGTGTCAAAATAACCTTGGGTAAATAGCCTGTGATGTCTACTTTATATAAATCTATACTTTAAAGTGGCAATTTTGTTTTCTGTGATGGGTATTAAACTTCCAAGACAAACATACCAACTTCTAAAATGATTTCACATTGAAATTTTATTTTAGACCTTGTAGTTTGTGTCCTGTAACTTTCAAAATAAACTGAAATTCTACACATATTATGTACTTTGTAAATCAAGATACATAAATGAATTGATTTTGAATTACTTAATTCAAATTCCTAAGCTGGACATGTTATGCACATGTTATTATTGCCCCCAAATTTTTTTGTTTGTTTTTCCCTCTGTAGACAACATACCTATCCTTAAGACCCTCATTTGGCCAATCTCATGGGGCAATTAATTGTAATCCCTCATTATGTACATTATCTTTACCTCGCATTAAGCCCTTCGGTTCACCAATATCTATTTAGGCGAGTTTATTATATTCTTCATAGATATATTGAAACTGCTCACATATAGCAAGGTTGTGAGTAAACGTTATCATGGTTTGGTTTCAGATCCAATGCCTTCACACGCAGCCATACTGGGCCTTCATTTCCATCATATGGCCCTCTGTGGGCAGTCCAATAAGACCAATTCAGCCCATCATTTGGGCTTTGCATAAGTACCTTCCTGCTTCATGGGGGTTATGTGTATACACCACTCTTTCTTACAACATTAGACCACTGATACTCACTAGGCCTAAACGGCCATTACTCAGCCTGTCAAACTCCATGGTACCTTAATCCCTTATGCTATACATTGTATCCTTACTTCACATACAGTCACTTTGTTCTTGCACAGTATTAGAAAAGTTATGTATCAAGTCACCTACATTGAGACACCACATAATCCATTGTGTTGGTTGTATACTGGTCATCCATTGGCATGGACCTTATAGTCAGTGTCCACTGAATGCCACATTACCATCCTTCTAGCCAAACTACTATTCCTACCGTTACCAATGGACTGGACCAAACACTAGGGCTTCAATATTGGCTATTTCACAACACCTGCACCTTGGTATGCCTATTCTTTTGTTTGTTCCATACATCCATACAGCCCTATTTCTCCATCCAGCAGCTCAGGACTAGCATTAAGCAGACTGCCTTCCGCTACAATGCCTCTACGCATGGCCCTCACACCATACGTTTACACATGGCCCTCCACGAACACAACAACAATTTTGGCCCCTCATTTGGGCAATTACATACGAGGGTCAAAGAAATACAATATTTCATACTACATTCCAATATTACACATGGCCTCATTAGACCCACGCAAGTCTTTTCCATACGGCCCTCTCAGCACAGTCCCGAGAACCTGGAACCTATCACTACGCATTAAACATACCCAGGTCTCTTCGGTCTGTCATTATTTTAACTGTTTAGTACTTCCACTTTAAGGCACTTGCTAGTTCTGGTATGTTGTTTCGTGCAGTACGCTATGGGATTTGATTAGATGTGATGGTTGGTTATTTCTCAGGGTGCTCTTTATCATACATAGTTCAAGTTTCTCTAGTGGAAGGATGTGCAGTGGAAACTCATGCTTAGATTCGGTACAATCCGGTATCCAGTATCCGCTTTTGATGTAAACTGTTAATTTTCAGAAACTCCACGTCTGCACTTTTGTGTTTTATATTATGCTTTTCTGTCACTAACCTCAACTTAATAATTTGTTAACTGTACCCTCACCTCTTGACATATACTTCACAGGGGTCTTGTTCAATTATTCTGGTCACCTCCTTAATGACCTATATTATGCCAAGTCTCACCAGGTAGACTTTATACCAACTGTTGCATATCTGGGGGTACTTTTGCATGCATGGTCAACTGAGTCATTTATTACACTGTTCAATTTCCTTTGGTTAGTTTGGTAACAGATTAATAGAGTATGTGTGTCCTGGTCTCATTGCACTTACTTTACCTACTTTAACGGAAATCTCGGTTGCAATTTTTATTAGTGTTGGTGTCGTAGTTCTGAATTATGAACACCTAGTTCTTGGGTCTCTCTCTGGTTGGATTTTGGATCTCTAAACCTTTTCTTTTGCCCTCCACTTTCTATTCACCTATTCTTACCATCAACTTCTAGCATAGCTATCATTTATCTGCCAGGTGTAAGTCTAATCATGCCACATTTATTGTTTTGCATTTACGTTTTTCAAGTCACCACATAAGGGACTCGCTATACAATACTATCTCCCTTCTTACAACAACCGCTCGCTTTACAAAAAACTTATCTTTAGCTTGGTCTGGCTGTTATGGTACCCTAAGTGGCCATAGGTAGTTTTCGGCTTCTCATGCAATTATATAGCAGTCCCAACTCCCATCCTCAACTATGGAGGTATTCGCCCCTAGGGCCAAATCATAGTTACTGCCTCTTATCTCCGCCTCTTGGCAAAAGCAGTTATGGCAAGCAAACTCAAAGACGGGCCAAATAAACAAGGTTTAAGTTTGTGTGGGCCACAAAAAAAAAAAAAACATCAGTTTTCATAGAAACGTAGGTTTATTTAGAAAATTACAGTATAAAATAATTTGTCTAACACTGGACGTCATCACGCTTGTAGGGGTTTAAAGTACAAAAGAGCAAATTTATTTTAAGGAAACGTGCAGTTGCATATAACCAACATTTCAGCCCAACTACCTTGACATATTAAGAAATGCAAAAAACAAATTACGTTATCTTGTTTATTTTGAAGTTCTAAGAGTGTGTTCTTCACTATGGCGGAGATCAAACTTTATGATCTTAGCCAATCCAATGCTTTCCAATAGGGAGGCTATTGTTCATGTGTGACAAAAAGCTGTGCGGCCAATCTCCTTTCAGCGCCTCCATGCAGACCTAATCTAATACACTGCCCACAAATCCAGTACGTTGCCCCCCTCCCTCCACTGTTAAACACTGCCCTACATACCCCTAATTTAACACACTGGGCCCCATCCTTCCTTCCCATTAATACACTGCCCCCTCCCCTCCCATTAATACATGTCTGTTTCGGCACACCACAACAGAGTTGTGCACCACTAACCTAACTCTGCTTAGTGTCCCGACCACAAACACACACTTTTATTTCCTATATGTATAATATATTATAAAATAAAGTATTTTATATTATGCATATATATGATTACACTATAAGTATTTTGAGATATGTGTATATATCTCAAAGTACACTTATAATGAAATCATATACCGTATATACTCTAGTATAAGCCGACCCGGATATAAGCCGAGGCACGTAATTTTACCTCAAAAAAACTGGGAAAAACCATTGATTTGAGTATAAGCCTAGGGTGGGAAATGCAACAGCTACTGGTAAATTTCTAAATAAAATTAGATGCAGTGTGTGTGTGTATGTATATGATGCAGAGAGTTTGTGTGTGTGTGAATGCAGTGAGGGCATTTTTATAATTTTATTTTAATATTATTTTGTTATTTTAATATTTAATGGTTTATTTTTATTTTTTGTCACTCCCCCCCCCCCGCTTGATACTTGGCCAGGGAGGGGGGGGGGGCTATGTCATTCCCTGGTGGTCCAGTGGCACATACTGAGCAGTGGGGGGGCAGGCAGCAAGCTGTTACCTTTGCAGCAGCTCTGTTCATCACCACAGTGTAAATCTCGTGGTCTGCGTGCCGCGCAAAACGTTGCCATGGGGCTCTGACAGCCGCGGGTCTCGCGAGATTTACACTGGGGAAATGAACAGAGCTGCTCCAAAGGTAAGTAACAGCTTGCTGCCGGCCCCTAACAGGACCGCCGGGCTTGTAATGATCTTGGTGGTCCTGGTCTGTATTATGGCAATGTAAGTTGAAAAAAAACAAAAACAAAAAAAAACTGCTTAATAGATTCAAAATTTTGTCCTTAGTTTAAAAATACCCAGCGTTTACATGCTTTTTTTTGCAAGTTATAGGGCTATAGGTACAAGTAAGATATTGCGGTTTCAAAACATACATTTTTAAAATGTATCAATAGTGACATTGTAACACTATTATCTGTCCTAAATCTCTGAATAACACCCCACATGTACATATTTTTAAAGTAGACAACCCAGTGTATTCAATATGGGGTATGTCCAGTCTTTTTTAGTAGCCACTTAGTCAAAAACACTGGCCAAAGTTAGCCGTAAGAGGGCAACAACCCAGCAGCAGGAACGATACCTCCGCCTTTGTGCAAGGAGGAACAGGATGAGCACTGCCAGAGTGCATGTGTCTGCTCAAACAGTCAGAAACAGACTCCATGAGGGTGGTATGAGGGCCCGACGTCCACAGGTGTGGGTTGTGCTTACAGCCCAACACCGTGGAGGTTTGGCATTTGCCAGAGAACACCAAGATTGGCAAATTCGCCACTGGCGCCCTGTGCGCTTCACAGATGAAAGCAGGTTCACACTGAGCACGTGACAGACGGGACAGAGTCTGGAGATGCCTTGGAGAACGTTCTGCTGCCTGTAACATCCTTCAGCATGACCAGTTTGGCAGTGGGTCAGTAATGGTGTGGGTGGCATTTCTTTGGGGGGGCTGCACAGACCTCCACGTGCTTGCCAGAAGTAGCATGACTGCCATTAGGTACCGAGGTGAGATCCTCAGACCCCTTGTGAGACCATATACTGTGGTTGGCCCTGGGTTCCTCCTAATGCAAGACAATGCTAGAACTCATGTGGCTGGAGTGTGTCAGCAGTTCCTGCAAGACGAAGGCATTGATACTATGGACTGGCCCGCCCGTTCCCCAGACCGGAATCCAATTAAGCACATCTGGGACATCAGGTCTCGCTCCATCCATCGTCACGTTGCACAACAGACTGTCTAGGAGTCAGCCCATTCAACTATGTAAAGAACAAAGTATTTCAGAAGAATATTTAATTCATTCAGATCTAGGATGTGTTATTTTTGTGTTCCCTTTATTTTTTTAGCAGTGTATATCATAAAAGGCTTTATTTTATAATATACTGTATATACTCGAGTATAAGACGAGTTTTTCGGCACATTTTTTTGTGTGTCTGTATTACACTTGTGTGAGTGTCTGTATTATGGCAACTTACACTGCCTTAATACAGACAAGGACCGCCGGGCTCATTACAAGCCCGGCGGTCCTGTTGGGGGCTGGCAGCGAGCTGTAACTTACCTTTCCTGCAGCTCCTGTCAGCTCCCTTCTCTCTCCTCCGGTCAGCTCCCCTGCAAGTCTCGTGAGAGCCGTGGGGTCAGAGCGTTGCCATGGATTACCGTGGCAACGCTCCGCGCGGCACTCAGACCGCGAGACTTACAGGGGAGCTGATCGGAGGAGAGATAAGGGAGCTGCAGGAAAGGTAAGTAAACGCTTCCTGCCAGCCCCCTCCTACACAGTACACACCACTGGACCACCATGGAATGAGAGCCCCCCTCCCTGGCCAACTAACAAGCAGGGAAGGGGGACGAAGAAAAATAAAAATTTAAATAAGATAACAATATAAAATAAATTTAAAAAAATATTATATTATATATATATATATATATATATATATATATAAATGCCCACCCCCCACCAAGGCTCTGCATCACACACACACACTGCACTAATACACTAAAATATTCAATGAATATAATTTTTGGGGGATCTAATTTTATTTAGAAATTTAACCAGTAGTTGCTGCATTTCCCACCCTAGTCTTATACTCGAGTCAATACGTTTTCCCAGTTTTATGGGGTAAAATTAGGGGTCCCGACTTATACTCGAGTATATACGGTATATATAAAAATGTATTTTCTCCACTTTTTAGGTGTCAACCCCCCCCAAAAAAAACCCACACATCTGGACCAATGCATGAATCCATTGTGATTTTTTCTGGGGAGAAAAAAAAAAATAAATGTAAGAAGAAGTGTGGAAAAATTCAACCGCCCCCCCATTTTTCACATGTTATTTACACTTCAAGGACCACTATAGGCACCTAGACCACTTCAGCTTAATGAAGTGGTCTGGGTGCCAGGTCCATATAGGATTAACCCTTTCTGCTGTAAACATAGCAGTTTCAGAGAAACTGCTATGTTTACCTATGGGTTAATCCAGCCTCTAGTGGCCGTCTCATTGACAGCCGCAAGAGGCACTTCCGCGCTTCTCTCTGTGATTTTCACAGTGAGAAGACGCCAGCGTCCATAGGAAAGCATTGAGAATGCTTTCCTATGGACTGGCTGAACGCACGCGTGGCTCTTGCCACACATGCGCATTCAGCCGATGACATCAGAAGAGGAAGGAGAGTCCCAGCGCAGAGGGAGCCCGGCGCTGAAAAAAAGGTAAGGGATTAACCCCTTCCACCCCCTTTAGCACCACGGGAGTGGGACTCCGAGGGTGGGGGTACACTCAGGGCACTATAGTGCCACGAAAACTAATGTTTTCCTAGCACTATAGTGGTCCTTTAAAGGAACACTCTGGTTCATCTAAATTAAGTTGTTATGGTGACAGGAGGCCCCTACGCGCTTTTACCTTCAAAAGGTTTAAATCGTTCTCTAACAGTTTAATCCACAAAGGTTGCCTCCAGTGCCAATCCCAAGGTCCCCCTGACGGCATCTGGCTCCTGAAACGGAGTTACAGGAAGCGCTGGGTGATGCCAGGTCAGCTTATGCTCTAAATGAATCAGTAGCTCGCTATTAAAAAAAAATTATTTTGTTTAAAAATTAAAACGGGGTACTTCCGTTGTTAAAGGGACACTATAGTCACCAGAACATATAGCTTATTGTAGTTTTTCTGGTGAGTAATTATTCCATTCAGTTTTTTTGCAGTAAACACTGTCTTATCAGAAAAAAAAAATGCAGTGTTTGCATTACAGCCTAGGGATACCTCCACTAGCCACTCCTCAGATGGCTGCTAGAGGTGCTGCACATTGAGCAGCGCTGCCATTCAGTGTCTCCACCCTCTGCATGAATACAGTGACCTTTCCTCAGAGATGCATTGATTAAATTCATATCTATGAGGAGATACTGACTGGCCAGGGTGGTGTTTGGAGGGGGCTGGCTCTTACCCTGCCTCCTTGACCGTCTCAGCCAATCCAATGATTTGCTATGGGAAAGTATTAATTGGCAGAGATCACCACTTCGGATGATGTCAGCCAATAAGGCAGATCAAGGGCAGAGCCAGCAGACTCAAATAAAGGTAAGATTTTACTATATTTAAAGAGGTAATGGGGGCTGGTGTGCTAAATGGTATTTTTACATCTAAGGCGCCCTTCTCTGATACTTGGTATCAACAACTTGTTAATGGCTATATTGGGCAGACTAGATGGGCCGAATGGTTCTTATCTGCCGTCACATTCTATGTTTCTATGTTTGATAGCCAAGACTGGTAAATGGATTTCCTCCTGAAAGAACAAAGGGCTACAGGAGATAACTAGAGAGATTAAGCATTTTGGAGACTCACCCAATTATTTCACTCCTAAAGATGAATGGGCACAAGCAATGGAGCCAATTGGGTGTGCCTAGTTTCATGGTATGGGATTGTAGCTGCACAGGTTGTGTGTAGGAAATAGCTGGGAGGCTTAACATCACGGCGGCAGGGACGGCGCCCATCCCTTACACGCACACGTCAGATTAACATAGCGTTGGGTTCCATTTTAATGAACATTATCTTAAAGCTACTGGAATTATATAAAAACAGGAAACAGTCCAAATCCCGGTATTTAGGGGATTTTCCACAATGGCAAATATAATGCTTGAAGTATTTTTAAATTTCATTAACCTTTTCTCCAGTAAAATCGCAGCCATTTGGCCCGTTACTGTGTAAAGGAACAAAAACACATGCATAAATGGTTAATAGCCATTCTAAGCAAACACCAAATCCACACTTTCTTAAAGGAACATACCAAGCACAACCTTGTGCAGTAGTTATGGTGGCAGGACCACCCTGGTGCCCTACCAATGAAATTTGTCAAAAATCACTTTAGATAAGTCTGACTGCTTACCAGCCGCCCTGTACTGTGTTCAACAGTGCCACGCTCACTGGCTGAGAGCACGCCGCTGAGCGCTCTCTAAACCAATGAGTGAGGAGCTGTATCAGATTATTCTGCAAAAGACCCAGGTAAGTTGTGTCACACACAACCTGTTATAAGCAAGATACATTTAATAGTGGAAGACTATTTTCAGCGCACACAGCACAAAAGTAATTGTAGAAAGATATTTTAGTTGTAAAGTGGTTTTTGAGGTCTGAAGTTTATAGAGCGGAGCAACAAACATTCCTTTGCTTTCTCTTACTCCTCTTAGTTTCATCCACTGAGCACCTGCTTTCTCAACTGTCTCTTGAGAAGCAACAACATAGCATTTTGGAAGGAATGAAGTTAAAAAAAACAACAAAAAAAAAAAACCCACAACATGTAATTTTCTATATTTTGCTTCCACATTGGTATATCGCAAACCTCAGTAGCCGTAATAAGAATGCATTGCAGCATAAGGATATCGTACCATCATTGTAAAATAAAGGACCACTATAGGCACCCAGACCACTTCAGCTTAATGAAGTGGTCTGGGTGCCTGGTCCAGCTAGGGTTAACCCCTCTTTTTTTTTTTTTTCCTTAAAACCCCTTAAGGACACATGACATGTGTGACATGTCATGATTCCCTTTTATTCCAGAAGTTTGGTCCTTAAGGGGTTAAACATAGCAGTTTCAGAGAAAGTCACAGTCACGTCAGCAATACAGGTTTGTATTCTCGACACTATAAAGTGTTCCTTAAAACAAATATTCCAATACATACAAACACCGAAAAAAAAAACAATATTTATTTTTTAAAATGAAGACTGAACATGATAGATCTTCAAAATTAACAAAATTTAATTTCTAACACTACATGTACAAAACTTGTGTTAAAAATAAATAAATAAATAAATGAATAAAATTCATTTGGAATGATATGTAAGTCAACCTACTTGGAGGGACACTGTAGGCACCCTGACAAGTTCAGCTAATTGAAGTGGTCTGGGTCCACTGTCCCCTTTGCACCTAGTGCTGCAATGAGAAACTGCAATGTTTACACTGCAGCACCAAGTATACATCCAGGGGCTGTCTAACAGACAGCCACTAAAGGGCTGCTTGTATCAAAACAGATATCAAAACTTTGGTCCAGTATTTTAAAGGACCACTCTAGGCACCCAGACCACTTGAGCTTAATGAAGTGGTCTGGGTGCCAGGTCCAGCTAGGGTTAACCCATTTCTTCATAAACATAGCAGTTTCGGAGAAACTATGTTTATGAATGGGTTAAGCCTTCCCCTATTTCCTCTAGCGGCTGTCTCATTGACAGCCGCTAGAGGCGCTTGCGTGCCTCTCACTGATTTTCACAGTGAGAGCACGCCAGCGTCCATAGGAAAGCATTGTAAATGCTTTCCTATGAGACAGGCTGAATGCGCGCGCAGCTCTTGCCACGCGTGCGCATTCAGCCGACAAAAAGGTAAAAGGTAAGTTTTTTTCCCCCTTTCCCCCTTCCAGAGCCGGGCGGGAGGGGGACCCTGAGGGTGGGGGCACCCTCAGGGCACTATAGTGCCAGGAAAACTAGTATGTTTTCCTGGCACTATAGTGGTCCTTTAACTGATTCAATGCTTGCCTACGGGGAGGGCTAATGTGCGCAGCATTTTCCGCACACGCACATTAACGCCTGCCCATTGCAGCCTGTCAGAAGGGGCAGAGGCAGGACCCAGCGCTGGGAAAAGGCAAGTTTAAAAAAAAAAAGAAAAAAAGAAAAAGGGGAGACAGAGAGCTACAGTGCCAGGAAACAGCTTTGTATTACTGGCACTATAGTATTCCTTTAAGAAAGTATCTCACATACTTTGATGTTTAGGAATACAGAAATCAACATAAAATTTAAAGAGACACTATAGGTCACCGAAACAACTTTAGTTTAAGAAGCAGTTTTGGTGTATAGATAATGCCCCTGCAGTCTCGCTGCTCAATTTATCTGCCATTTAGGAGTTAAATCATTTTGTTTATACAGCCCTCTGCGAGTGTGACTTACACAGCCTTCCTAAACACTTTCTGCAAAGAGTCATCTAATATTTACACTTCCTTTACTGAAAATTGTTTAATTTAGATTTCTTATCTCCTCCTCTGTTAATAGCATGCTGGACCTTACAGGAGCCTCCTGTATGTAATTAGAGCTCAATTTACAGAGTAGGAGATTAAAAGTTTTAAAGTCTGATTGAAACCAAAACCATTTTTTTCATGGAGCCTATGTCCTTCACAGCCAGGGGAGGTGTGGCCAAGGCTGCATCAACAAAAAGGATTTAATTCCTAATAAAAAAGAGAATTGAGCAGTGAAACATCAGAAGTATGATCTATACACAAAAACTGCTTAATTAAGCTAAACTTGTTTTGGTGACTATAGTGTCCCTTTAATATGCTCTAAACAGAAAAGATATGGACCACAATACCATACTGCTTGCTAGCAGTTTTCATCCACATTATGTAAAGAATTCTTTGTTAATTTCACAGTATCTCAGAGTACTTCGAAATAAAAGTGATGATATAAAAAAAAAAAACAAAAAAAAAAGATAAAACAGATTTCTTGCATGTGGAAATACAATGATTTGAGTTTACCATCAACATTCCGGCAGAGACCAGCTATTCGCAACAAGAGCAACAAAAATTCGATATAAAAGTATGGACTGATCCATCACACTGTTACAATACTTAATGGAAAAGCTGCAAAACCAGGTTGCAAAACCAGGTTGTACAAGGGTTCTGGCTGCATAACCTGTAGCCACATGATGTACCGTGATATAATTGCACTCCCGCACAATTCGAATCATATCTACATTAAACACCATATCACAGATCATGCTATTTACACAAATACTGATCTCACTATCGGGGAAATCGCGTCCGAGGCGATCGCTCAGCCATCTTCAGTGCTTTTAGGGATGGGAGTACACAAATAATATACCACTGGATATAATTACGTGAAAAAGAATCGCCTAAAAAGTGTCCGACCAACACCCTAAAAATAGAATATAAAAAAAATAATAGGTTTATTATAAATATGATCAGGTTAGATTAACAATTACAGAGGCCATTTATACCTCTTTTCACATGATTATACCCATTTAAGGTTTCTCCCTTTTGTTATACTTTTTAAACTGATAAGCCAGTAGCAAAACATTTCCTCCAGGTAAGACATCGGCTTCCTATATTACGATTCATCACAATAGATCACGTACCACCTCCTCCGAGAGGAAGATTGATCCAAGCTACTACTTCAAAAGAAAACCTATTGGATACACCGTCTCAATACGAATACATTGCTTTCTCTGTGACTCTCCGATTTAGTATATATTTTAAACTACTACACTTATAAGTGTAGTTTATAACACAAGAGCCATATACTTTATCAAAGTGTGAGGATTAGCACCATAAAACTATTGTTTGTTATCACGTATATACTGCCTTTCTTATGAAAGAATAAGATATATGGGTGTATTACATATTAAGATAACATTAACATACCTCATATTTAATGTCCTAGTTACAATAAGTTTAATTTCACATTACACATCAATATAATGCCAAATTAAACATTGATATAAAATATATATATATATATATATATATATATATATATATATATATATATATATATATATATATATATATATATATATATATATATATATATATAAACTTTTTTGGCATTTAGTGTCTTAGAAACACTGTTTATTTGATTTTTTTTGTGGCTTGTCAGTATGCATAATTTAATTTCGTCTTATAAAGCTACCTTCTTATATGGATATCTACCTATATATGTTTTTTTTCCTCCTAATTTTAAACCCTATAGTGCATTTTGGAAAAAGGTTCACTTCCTTATTTGTTGATTCACGATACAAATTTTCATTTAAGAGTACACATTACCTTTACTCCAGTGCTCTATGGCTGAATTCTGTGTAAAGATCCTCCCTTTGTATATTAATTTACTTCAATCTCATTACATTTTTAAAATTTATTTTTTCCACCGCAGACTCATTGCACAACCAGTTGACTTATATCTCTTAACAACTATGTTTGACGCTTGCTTGTCATCACGGTATTCTGTAGAAACTCCTGAGATTGCACTCTGTCTAGCCAAAACACACACACACTTACATCACTGGTAAATGGATTTATAATTTATTTTTACGTATATATTACTCCATTTTCATTGTTTATTAGCTCTTGATAAAGGCCTGAAATTGCCAAAACAAACCAGACAAAATAAATCCACGTTATAAGAGACTTGTTAGTGCTGCCTTTTTGTTGTGTGTGTATGTGTGTCGTTATTGTTACACATATTACAATTTTCCTTTCTAACTTACAGTATTGCAACACTTCTAGTTTTAAAACACTGAGTCATGCACACATCATCTCAAAAACATAGCTACCCTACAGAACAGAAATACCCAAGGACGTTAAGCAATTCTCACATTATCGCTGCAGAACAAGAAAGGATCAGGTTTCGATCAGTTACTGGGTGCTGGATAAGAGATGGGTGACAACAAACCCAGGCACACAGGAAGTCTGTAGGCTCCTCAGAAACATCTACGGGTTCATTGTAACTGACAATCTAGATGAAATCTTGCATTTAAAGTGTTTCTCCAGCCCTGGTTTATACTTATTGATTTGTAACAAGTAATGCCCTGTTGGGTATTATTCTTTAGGTGCCCCCCTAGTGCAACATTTCAAGCTGAAATGACACACACACACTCCCCCCCTTTCCCCCATGAAAAAAATAAATTAAAAAAAATAGGTCTCACCAAATCATCCCTAATATCTGATAAAACACACACACACACACATAATCAGCTGACGTCCCGACATGAGCGCTTCAAAAAGGACTTCTGACTTACACACAATGTATTCTTCACGCTTTCATTCTATTTAGCCTTAAGATTTGTGTGGGGTGCCCTTAGAAGGACAATACTTTTCATCCCTTTTTCCTTATCTTACCTGTTTCACCAACTATAGAGATAGATATCAAAAACCGAAAAGGTCATGGTGGACAAAAAAAAAAAAAAAAAATTTTTTTAAAATTGTGATTGAAAAACCCTTCCACCTGAAATCTGCACACCAGTCAAGCCATAAGACGTGCTTTTCCCAAACCTATTGGCAGAGACTAAGAAGCCTAATAACATCTATCACGGGCCACCAGGTATCACACTCCCCCAAAACCTTTTTATTCCTCATGCACACCACCCACATGCCAAGCCACCTACGCAAACTCATAAACTATATGCTGACAGCAGCAAACATGCTAATACCACTTAAGTGGAAAAGTACTGGGGTCCCATCAGTACGTGAGTGGATACAGAAGGTGGAATTCATACGGATCATGGAAGAATTAGACGCCTCATACTCGAATAACTACACCACATACACTCCAACCTGGTAGCCATGGTTGACCTACCTAGAGCGTTAGAGATACCTAAATGCTACCCCCACCCGACCCATCCACTACCTGCATGACCTCTATCCACCCCCCCCCTCCTGGCTCTTCAACACCAAAGGTACAACCCTACGAGCCGAACCCATACCCCCCGACCAAAATCGGTAATATGTTCATTACCTGGATTCACTAGAATACTATCCTGTTAAGTTACACGATGTTACAAATGGGAAAAAATGCGCAAATACCAAAGCCTGTAAAATTTGGCAACGATATTTGATAAGCTGACGTGGCTACTGTTTTATATGTCTTGTAACACTTTTTTCTTTGTGCAATAAAATAAAGATTATAAAAAAATAAAAAAAACAAAAAATAAAAAAACGTGCTTTTCCCCACAGAAATCACACATTTGCAGTGATGTTACTACCGCAAAGGATTCTGGGTGGGCATATGCAAATTAGTTTAAGAATCAAATTTTTGCCTTATTTTCTGTGGGAAAAGCAAGTCTTTGACTGGTGTGTAGAATATATATATATATATATATATATATATATATGTGTATATATAATTTAAAGCGATGGAGAGGCTTGCACTCACGGTCCTTTGTAGTTAAAAAGGTAAAGTTTTATTGAAGATCCATTAAAAGCATCGACGTTTCAGTCCTCGTTTGGGACTTTCTTCAGGATGAAAAGAAGAGTACACAAGTCCTCAATATATCCAACGCGGTTCGTCCTACAGCTTGGACTTCCTCAGGGATACAAGTTCTTCTCACCAGGAATGCTTCTTAAATATACATCGGCTCACGCCACTGGGAGACGCACAGGATATGCGTCAACGCGCTCCAGGGTGGAACGCACGCCGAATTTAGGTGAATTCCACCACCTATCAATCCCAGCATATTTAAGAAGCCTTCCTGGTGAGAAGAACTTCTATCTCTGAGGAAGTCCAAACTGTAAAATGAGACGCGTTGGATATATTGAGGACTTATGTACTCTTATTTTGTTTTTACATGTTTTAGTTTTTTCCAAATTTGGTTTATTTCCACGCTTCCATCTAAGTTCCATTCCATGTGGAGATATGCCCATTGTCCATGTTGGTCTGTAAGTGCATTCTAATAAATTCCTTTTGTGATTTTACTGTACTTCACCATTGCGGCCTCTTTTCTCTCTATGCATTATTGGAAGACTATCCATATATGAGCAACATTTTGCAACTACATCTGCGTGTACCCCAGGGAGGGTGACAAACCATATGTTTGAGTTTTTTTTGTATAATTCACATTCTATATAGTATTACGCTATGTTGTATTATCGATTTTTATACATCCCAGTGACTTCTAGGATCTTTCAATATCCTACCTTTTCCAGGTGGTTAGATTTATTTTTATACGTATTGTTGTTTTCCCACTTTTTTTGTATTTTAAGGGATATGGGACTTTGCACCCAGACCACTTCAATGAGCTAAAGTGGTGTTGGTGTCTACAGTGTCCCTTTAACAAGATAATTGGGAAATGTTTGGGAATTCACCGTGAATAAAACAGATATTCAAACCTGTTACAAAGGAAGGCACACTTCTAAAATCACAAAATAAATCAAAATAAAGCTCACTCAAGGGCCCTATTCCCAATTGGACCCAAAAGTATAAGCCATCAAAAAAAAAAAAAAAAAAAAAAAAAAAAAAAAAACGACCAATAAGACATGAGCCAGCTTTATTATACAATCCAATATTAAATGGAATACATGAAAACACTTAAAGGGACACTATAGTCATCAGAACAACTATAGCTTATTGTATTTGTTTTGGTGAGTATAATCATTCCCTTCAGGCTTTTTGCAGTAAACACTGACTTTTCAGAGAAAATGCAGTGTTTGCATTACAGCTTAGGACCCCCTCCACTTGCCACTCCTCAGATGGCTACTGGACATACTTCCTGGGGCAGTGCTGCACAGTGTGAGTGACATTCAGTGTCTCCACCCTCTGCATGCAGACACTGAACTTTCCTCATAGAGCTGCATTGATTCAATTCATCTCTATGAGGAGATGCTGATTGGCCAGGGCTGTGTTTGTATCATGCTGGCTCTGCCCCTGATCTGCCTCTTTGGCAATCTTAGCCAGTCCGATGCTTTCCTATGGGTAAGCATTGTGGTTTGCTGTAAATAAAACATCTGATGATGTCAGCCAAGCAGGAAGATCATGGGCGGGGCAAAGGGACTATATATTGTGTTTTTAACACTATAGGGTCAGGAATATACGTTTTTGTTCTTTACCCTATAGTCTTCCTTTAAAAAAAAGATACGGTTGTGCTGATTATAAGAGATCAACAGTGACACACACATAAATAATATCTGTCAATACAAAAAAATACACATTAACTACTTATGTACATGTTACTGTTGATTGCACAACAGCCTTACTCTGTATTTTTCTTTGTTTTCATGGATACCATTTAGTTTTGAGAAAGAATAAAATAAAGCACAATATAAAAATCTATAATAGTCTGTGTGACACAATTATATGTAGTTCAAAAAATAAAATTCAAAGCTGCCAGACGTAAAAAGTTATTCCTTAAACCTGTATAACGCCCGCTGCGTATGGGCGGAACACGTGGACGAGCCAGAAGCCTTTCTACTACTTCGGCGATATTGTGCTCCAACATCCCTCCGTTCGGGTGTTTTTTTTTTTTAACTTAAATTATAATAAAACGGTTACACCATTCCTGTTTTTTTGTATATTTTACGTGACTTACCATGGGTACTGGATACAAAGTTTCAATTCCTATCTAACACAGAAGTATACCCCTAATTTTTCCCTTATCCATCGCTGTGGAGGTGGAATTCGGACACAACTATGTTATCTAGCTTCCCCTTTGAACAATCTTTTGGGGACTACTGCACAGCGCTGACATTTATCTACATTTGACCATTTAATGTTGGATTTTATAATGTTGGTTTAGATTTTATTGGTTGTCCGCTTGATTCTTTTTTATTAAAACAAGTATTGTCAGAACATATATTTTATCTGCACATAGGTAATCAGATAATATTACTGAGGCTTATAGCCAACGTTCAGCACCTGCTCTTGTACATTTAAGGTACATTTCAAAGTCGACACCAAAACATCAAGTGTAACAAGGTTTTTTTTTTTTGTTTGTTTTTTTTATAAATCTTGTAAGAGGAAGGAAAAAAGGGATAAAACTGACAAATTGAAGTGCAGTGAATCAAGTTTGGCAGTCAAGACATATATCCCTAGGCAATGTAGTACAAACACAAAGTTTCTTCGAAAACTATGATCGCCCAAGGTCATCCATTTTTAAAGTAACTCTTACATAGGGAAAAAAAATAAAATTTGGATGACGGATCAGTTAAAGAAAAAAGACAAAACCAAAAAAAAATATAATATGTTGAGCAAAAATAGCTGCATTAGAAATACTAAATCCTCAGTTTAGTGGCTTTTTTTGTCTAGATCTTGTAATTTGGTTTTAAATTCAATAAAATGTATTTTTTTTTTTTTTTAAATATATTTTTATAGAAATTTGTGGGAAGTATATCATAGTAACCTTAAATGTCTAGAATACTTTACAATTCCAGTTTAAGAATCTCAACATATTTTTATATTTGCTTATCTACATTTTTTTTTTAAATTGTATTATTTAATGACTAAACCCCAGAGTGTTTTTCACTAAATTCTAAATTGTCGCGAAAAGTAATCCGAAAATCAAAATTCTAATTATGCATCAGTTTAAAAAACTTTGCAAATTATTTATCTGCAGAAGTCACAAAGTCTATAGCAAGATCGTCGCAGGATGGTGGAGGAGGAGGAGCTTTGACCCAATGCCAAGGGACACTGGCGCTGGGATCTGGTAAGTAAATAAGGTGTTTTTTACCCTTTATTTACCCGGGGGGGTGCGATAGTTCCAGGAATACAGCTTTGTATTCTTCGCACTAGAGTATCACTTTAAAACAAAAATGTAATTATTCCAATGTATTGGTTTAGCCTAAGAGGCACGACTCATAATAATTCACACTTCAAAAAAATAATTAATGGTGGTAATGGACTCTGTTTCTTAATCTTTGCAGAGTTATTTACTAAATTTCTAAATACAGCGAAGTAAAAGGCCAATTGCAAAATCTAGGCTACATAACCAAGCAGTGTTAACTAATAGCAATTTGCTGCACTGGATTTACATTTTTGAAACCTATATTACACGACAACACAATGTGCAGCAGGGTGCATCACATACAATAAACCCTGAAAATATTGATTTAATATTTTGTTGCGTTATTTAAAATAAAATAAAAAATACACACACACACACTTAAAAAAATTGTATTTTTAAAATTACTTGTGAAAATAAAATAAGTACAATTTCATTTTATCTATTTAAAGTTTGTAGATTCAATACACAAATCAATTTTAAAAAAAAAAAAACTGGAGAGAAAAAAAAAAAAAAAATACATAAAAAAGGAAAATAACTCCAATAACAATCTATGCACATATATAAGTCAATGACCAATTGGATTAACACATGCAAGTTTGTGTGGAGCTGCCAGAATTAAATAAGCAAGACAACTTATGGTTTTAAAAGACTTTACAGAACGGATCCCAATGTTAGTATATTGGAATATTTAGCCATGAAGGGGTTACAGTTAAAAAAAAAAAAAAATTCAGTTTTGAAATTCCTGGGACTAACCTACAGGCGAGCAATGTCCAGGCTAGGGAGAGCCTGCATCAATAAGGGGCCTCTCATTCAGGTCTATGAGGTCTCAGAAGAGGTTTTGTGGATATGTGGTTCAGCAGTTCCATTTACAGCCAATAAGTGGAAAAGCTGAACAGACGGATAGAAGCAGGTTTACAGATGGCATGTACAGCGTTATTCACCATCAGTGTGCATTTGCACAGCCTCCAGTTGTTGTAGGACATGCCAACAGAGAAAGTACAGTTCAGCCAGCTTTACTAATAGCTGCAATTAGACTGTGTGAATGCACACTAAGTACAGGGGATCTCTTTGCGCCATCACAAGTTGTTATGGTGCCTGACATAGCCCCCAAACAATTAAAAAATAAAATTAAAAAAAAATAAAACAGGTTTCATAAACAAAGAAGTTAAATAAATAATGAATGTAAGCTAGTTTGAGCAGAGCCCTCAACACCTTCTGTTCCTGTGCGTCCAACTCATCTTTTTGCAAGCACTTGTTTGGTATTCCACCTATTGTACAGCTCTGCGGAATTTGTTGGCGTTTTAAAAATAAATAATAAAAAGTGGAGTACTTGAAGCTGCCATTGTGTTATTTAGACATAAAACATCTGGCTGCAAAGAGGAAGCACAGCTCCTCAGACAGGAGGCGGCGCTCAGCAGAATAAAGTGCTAAAGTGTCATTGACCTCATCCCACCCACTCCCAGACCCCAAGGACCCAGAACCTCCAACGTGTACACAGTGATTAATATATAACAGCACAGGTATGACCAACACTACTTAACAATAAAAAAAAACAAACATAAAAATGAAAAAAGCTATATAAAAAGACACAAGCTTTCTAAAATAGCACATTGATCAATTCTTACCCAATAGAGGGGATGTCTCAGGGCAGTTGGGCAGGTCCACCATGTTTGAGGTATCCCTGCTCTCCTCCTGATCTTTTGCATTATATTCAGGTTTTAGTAAATTCTGGACGCTGCTGGGGGTAGCATTGGCAATCCCGCGATACTGGGCTTGCTGGTTCTGTACAAAGTACTGGAAGATGTTCAGTTCTCCCCCAGACACATAATAAACCAGGGTAACGCTGAGATGGAGAGCACAGATCAGTACCAGAAGCCTGCAGGCTCTCTGTAGGGAGGTCCCGGGCAGAGCTACTGTAGTAATTGGTAATAGCGGATCCTTGTGCATGCTGTATAAAAACAGAGAGAGGGGACAAAGCACTCAGCGTGAATAAAAATGGCCATTGTACTGCGCCACGGAATGAGTTGGCGCTTTAAAGCATTATAATAAAGTCAACGATTAAATAAAACATGTATAAATGATTAGATCATGGGTGAGGGGGGCGGGGGAGTGCGCAGCAAACACCCCTTCCTGTCACAAGCAGGGCAAATTAAACAAGTCAAAACTGGATGTTAAAGTGCTGAAAAGACCAGTTCTCACTTAAAAAAAAAACAAAAAAAACTGGGCACTTATTAAAAATAAAAAACATAGTGAAGGGTTAAACTAAGATCAGGGCAGCCCTGCCCCATGCATTAGTAGGGTTTCTTATGAGGAGGGCAGGAAGGTCACCTTAGGGGGAAATAGTGATAAAATATAAGGAAAATAACTGTGAGAGTTAAAAGTTAACTTACACGAATACTGGAGGATCATACAGCCGCCAGGAGGAAATTCAAGCAGTCACAGACATTTGTTGCCTGTGAGTTGGGCTCAGTGTGCAGGGGAGGCTGCTGGGAAGTCGTTGTTGCAGCATCCAGACTCTTTAGAACGCTCGCACACTCGAAATGGAACGCGCAGTCTGCTAACGTTCCAGGGAAACACTCTGCGTGACGTCACCGGGCGAGAGGTGTAATGTGTGCTGGGAGGAGGGCTCAACATGTCGGAACAGAGACCCTTAGCGCCTGCTTCCAGGCCCCGCCCACAATTTGGTTTCCTTTTTTTTTTTTTTTTTTCTTCCCAGCAGGGCTGGACGTGGTTCCTTCTCCTGTTGGTAAAACTTTCATGAGTGTTCGTTCAGTCAGTTTTCCATCAATGGAGACTCAAATTATAGGGTGCTTTTAGTTCCTTTTTATTGCACTATGTAATTGATTTATATTTTTTTTTAGGCTCATTCAGAGTGTGAATTCAGAGTGAATTTCAAATTTAAAGGAACACTAACAAACATGTATTCCCAGCACTTGTGCACGGCGGGGGTTATATCAGACTGATACATAGTTAACATCAATAATAAACAGCACAACAATCCCAAAGATAGATAATAAATCACACGCAGACTCAGAAATGTTATTCAGTTTTAAAATTCACACAACCAACACTTTTTAAACCCCCAGAGCATTAACCAAACATCTCCGGTCTTTAAACCCCCAGAGAATTAAAACATAACTCACCAGAGTTCCACCCTATTAACCAGAACTTCAACCAAATGATCATAAACTCAGCTAGTCAACCCCCCCTTTAAATTAGGTGACCTCAACCCCAATAAAAGACCACGACAATTGAATAGGGAGGGCAGGGAAAACAGCTCCAGGAGGGTAAATCCTTCCTTCGTCAAGGTAATTTCTTCTGGCGTCAAAACTTACCTCAAGGCGCCTTATATATTTAAATTTTCCCGCCTTAGAGTGTCCTCGCGGACAAGTGCTCCAATCAGAGTTTGAAAAAACCCACGAGGGCACTGCAATGGCTGTTGCTAAATGCCCTCGCGGGCATCGCTAATCACGCCGCGATCTGACCCCTGATTAACCCCACGACGCACATGTGTACCTAGTCTATGGAGTAGGTACGTTCTATAGTGATAAAACCGGTCTGGACCTTACTTTAAAATGGTGATTTTACTCACCTTTTCCCAGCACTGCACTGGTCTCGCCACAGCTGGCACCGCCACACCTCTGTGGCTGAGATCATCAAAAATCGGCGTCTCCTCATAGAGATGCGTTAAATCAATACATCTCTATGGGGAGCATTCATTCAGCATCACACTGTGCAGCACTAGGAAGCACCTCTAGTGGCCATCTGAGTGACTCCCACTAGAGGTGTTCCTAGGCAGCAACGTAAGCACTGCATTTTCTCTGCAAAGGCAGCATTTACATTGAAAAGCCTGCAGGGACAAGCTGTAGACACCATAACAACTATAGTAAGTTGTTCTGTTGACCATAGTGTCCCTTTAAGAAGAAAGTAGCCAAGTTGGAAAAGTACTCTACTGAGTTGTTAACGAAAGTGATAAATCAACATGAATTGAAAGTGAATTTACAATTTAAAATCAAAATAGTCAAATTGGGAAAAAAATCTGTTTTCAGTCCAGCCACTCTGGCCTTAAAGGACCACTCTAGGCACCCAGACCACTTCAGTTTAATGAAATGGTCTGGGTGCCTGGTCCAGCTAGGGTTAACCCATTTTTTCATAAACATAGCAGTTTCAGAGAAACATTATGAATGCTTTCCTATGTGACCGGCTGAATGCGCGCGCATTCAGCCCAGGAGGAGGAACGGAGGAGGATCGGAGGAGGAGAGCTCTCCGCCCAGCGCTGGAAAAAGGTAAGTTTAACCCCTTTTCCCCTTTCCAGAGCCGGGCGGGAGGGGGTCCCTGAGGGTGGGGGCACCCTCAGGGCACTATAGTGGTCCTTTAAATGTGAAATTTACTTTGAATTCACTTTCAGTTCTCACTTTAGTGAATAACTCTGTTAGTCAGCTATGCTTTTAGTTTGGCTACCCTGGTCTTAATTTTAAATCTTTACTTTAGTTAATAGCCCTAAAAGTGAATTCAAAGTACATTTAAAATTTTAAACCTCAAGAGTCAAATTGAAAAAATACTTCCAGTGGAATTGAGTTGAGCCTGAATAAACAAAATATGATTAAAACAACCAATTATCACACACAATTAGCCATTTTCAAATTCACTAGGGGCAATTTTGGTTGAATATGGTTATTTTAAGCAGATGAGCGGCGAGCGCATGTTTGAGTACAATGCAGTGCAGGGCCAGCCCGTCCGTAGCCCCTGTGTCTGCCGTTAGGGGTCCGGGCTGGCTAGCTGTGTATATATACAGGGCCGGCACTACCTGTTAGGCGGACTAGGCAGCCACCTAGGGCCTTAGAGAGCCTCAGGCGGCTGCAGCTTTGCCCGACCGGGCGCATACTGAGTTGAGCGGCTGACAGGAGGGAAGCGCTCAGCGCTACCTCCTGTCACTCCCTCTTTGTAGGTCCGCAGGTACAGGGAGCATCTGTCTCCTGTACCCGGCTGGACTAACAGGAATTGCACTTCCTGTTAGTCCGGCCGGGTACAGGAAACAAAAACTCCCTGTACCCGCGGACCATAGAGGACTCTGCCATGCTACAACAGAGGTGGGGGGGTGGGGGAGAAATTGACAGGGAAGGGAGGGAGGGAATAAATTGAAAGGATGGGGAATAAATTGAAGGGGGGATACATTGAAAGGGGAATAAATTTAAAGGGAGGGTGGGGAATCAATTGAAAGGGGGGGAAATTGAAAGGGGTGGGGAATAAAAGAAAGGGAATAAACAGGGAGGGTGGGGGAATAAATTGAAAGGGAGGGGGGAATAAATTGAAAGGGAGGGTGGGGAATAAATTGAAAGGGAGGGTGGGGGGAATAAATTGAAAGGGGGGGATAAATTGACAGGGAGGCTGGGGAATAAATTGAAAGGGAGGGGAATAAAGTGACAGGGAGGGTGGGGGGAATAAATTGAAAGGGAGGGGAATAAAGTGACAGGGAGGGTGGGGGAAATAAATTGACGGGGTGAGGGAATAGATTGAAAGGGAGGGTGGGGAATAAATTGAAAGGGAGGGGAATTGACGGGGGAGAGAGGGGGAATGAGAGACATCCCCCTACTCCACCTCCTGTGAACAAACTCATTGGTGAAACATGAAGGTGGACCCTGGGACCCAGACCTTGAGCTGTGTAAAGGACCCCCAAAAAATGGAGCTGCTTCCCGTTCTCCCAGAACATTGATTTTTGTGACCAGAGTTTCAAACCGCCTCCAGAGAGCCTGTTCTACACTAGACCAATGGAGCCAGACTGCAGCTAGAGCCCATCATCATCCTCATCTGGTTGTAAGTAGGCAATCTAGTATATTATTCGTGGCACTAATCTCTAATTTACCTCACATTAAAGGGACACTATAGTCCCCAGAACCACTGCAGCTTAATGTAGTGGTTCTGGTGTCTATAGCCTGTCCTTGCAGGCCTTTTAATGTAAATACGGCGGCACTGCAGCACTGGCGTTAGTTAACATGGCAAATCATATGGGTGGGGCATTGTGATGTCACATGGGGGGGTGGGGGGGTGGCAACCTTTACTTTTGCCTAGGGCAGCAAAAATCAAAATCCTTGCACTGGCCCTGTATATATATATATATATATCTATATATATATAGATATATATATATATATATACACACTGCTCAAAAACATAAAGGAAACACAAAAATAACATCCTAGATCTGAATGAATTAAATATTCTTCTGAAATACTTTGTTCTTTACATAGTTGAATGTGCTGACAACAAAATCACACAAAAATTTAAAAATGGAAATCAAATTTTTCAACCCATGGAGGTCTGGATTTGGAGTCACACTCAAAATTAAAGTGGAAAAACACACTACAGGCTGATCCAACTTTGATGTAATCTCCTTAACCCCTTAAGGACAGATGAGAGAAATATTCCGTCATGATTCCCTTTTATTCCAGAAGTTATGTCCTTAAGGGGATAAAACAAGTACAAATGAGGCTCAGTAGTGTGTGTGGCCTCCACGTGCCTGTATGACCTCCCTACAACGCCTGTGCATGCTCCTGATGAGGTGGCGGATGGTCTCCTGAGGGATCTCCTCCCAGACCTGGACTAAAGCATCTGCCAACTCCTGGACAGTCTGTGGTGCAACGTGACGTTGGTGGATAGAGCGAGACATGATGTCCCAGATGTGCTCAATTGGATTCAGGTCTAGGGAACGGGCGGGCTAGTCCATAGCATCAATGCCTTAGTCTTGCAGGAACTGCTGACACACTCCAGCCACATGAGGTCTAGCATTGTCTTGCATTAGGAGGAACCCAGGGCCAACCGCCTGAGGATCTCATCTCGGTACGTAATGGCAGTCAGGCTACCTCTGGCGAGCACATGGAGGGCTGTGCGGCCCCCCCAAAGAAATGCCACCCCACACCATTACTGACCCACTGCCAAACCGGTCATGCTGGAGGATGTTGCAGGCAGCAGTACGTTCTCCACAGCATCTCCAGACTCTGTCACGTCTGTCACATGTGCTCAGTGTGAACCTGCTTTCATCTGTGAAGAGCACAGGGCGCCAGTGGTGAATTTGCCAATCTTGGTGTTCTCTGGCAAATGCCAAATGTCCAGCACGGTGTTGGGCTGTAAGCACAACCCCCACCTGTGGATGTCGGGCCCTCATACCACCCTCATGGAGTCTGTTTCTGACCGTTTGAGCAGACACATGCACATTTGTGGCCTGCTGGAGGTCATTTTGCAGGACTCTGGCAGTGCTCCTCCTTGCACAAAAGCGGAGGTAGCTGTCCTGCTGCTGGGTTGTTGCCCTCCTACGGCCTCCTCCACGTCTCCTGATGTACTGGCCTGTCTCCTGGTAGCGCCTACATGCTCTGGACACTACGCTGACAGACAGCAAACCTTCTTGCCACAGCTCGCATTGATGTGCCATCCTGGATGAGCTGCACTACCTGAGCCACTTGTGTGGGTTGTAGATTCCGTCTCATGCTACCACTAGCTCCCTCGCCACCACTGATGTGCTTGCAGCCGACTGCTTCACAGCAGCCCCACTGGACCACAGAGACAGATCCACTCCAGCTCTCCCAGAGGTAGAGAGGCTGGGTGGACAAATTATATTAATAATATGAAGTGACTATTA